AGGGGAGAAGAGGACATGGGGGAGCAGGAAGGTTGAGTTGGAGGAAGAATAAAGGAGAACAGGATGAGAGATACCATAATAGAGGGAGTCATTATAGGTTTGAAGAGAGATCTGGCACTAGTGAGATTTCAGAGATCTATAAGAATGACACCAACTGGCAAACTAAGCAGTAGTAGAGAGACTACCTTAAATGCCCTTTCCTGATAATGAGATTGATGACTACCTTATATGCCATCCTAGAGCCTGCAACAGCTAAACACTGAACTGAACTCCTGGAACCCAGTTGCAGAGAAGGAGGAGTGATGAGCAAAGGGGTCACTACTAGGCTGGAGAACCCCACAGAAACTGCTGACCTGAACAAGGGGGAGCTCATGGACCCCAGATTGATGGCTGAGAGGCCAGCATGGGACTGATCCCCAACCCTAAATTTGGGTGTCAGTGACAAGGCCTCTGCGATCTATGGGACCTTGTGTAGTAGATCCGTATTTATCCCTGGCATACAAATGGACTTTGGGAGCCCATTCTACAAGGAGGGATGCTCTCAGCCTGGATTCATGGGGGAGGGCCTAGGCCCTGGCCTGGATGAAATGACCCTCCCTGGGCAGTGGAGCAGGGATTGGGTGGGGGGTTTAATCTTCCTTCCCATTGGCTGCCTCTTGTTTTACTTTCTTGCTCACTGAGCACCTGGGAGGTAGCCACAAGGGGCTCTCTCAGTTCTTTGTCTGATCTCAACTGCCCCAGAGGTCTCCCTGCCTATCTCTTAGCACAATAAACCTTGCTCTGTGAACATCTACTGATACTAACTAAGCACCACCATGCAAGCTTCCTGAACTAGACAACTCTGCTGCTAAAACTCAATGACTCAATCTGACTCTGGGATTTGGGAGCTGCTAAGAGCACCTCACCTGTGGCTGCCGCTGCTCCAGGCAGAACACAAGGGCATCTCTCCCCCACAGTGTCTTCCTAGCTACAATACGGCTAGGAAGAACCCAAATTGCACTTAACAGGCCAGAGAGAAAACAGGCCTTCGAGACCCAGGTCTATGGAACATACTCTGTGAGGCCTTCCCTGACCTCCTCCCCCACCCTTATGCTCATGTAGCATTTTGTTCACGCTGCTGGTTTTTCATTTCCCTGCCACATTTTAAGCCTGTGAAAGGCAGAGTCTTGTTTTACTTTCTTGATGCACAGAGTCATGTAAAAAGTTGTGGTGTCTGCCCACAGCTAAACACTGAACTGAACTCCTGGAACCCAGTGACAGAGAGGGAAGAGTGGAAGAGTGATGAGCAAAGGGGTCGAGACTGGCCTGGTGAAACCCAGAGAAACAGCTGACCTGAACAAGGGGGAGCTCTTGGACCCCAGACTGACTGGCTGGGAGGTCATCATGGGACTGATCCAGACCCCCTGAATGTGGATGCCAGTGAAGAGACCTAGGCAATCTAAGGGGCTTTGGGTAGTAGATCAGTATTTATCCCTGACACACAAATGGACTTTGGGGACCCATCACACAATGAGGGATGCTCTCTCAATCTGGACTCTTGTGGTAGGGCCTGGGCCCTCCCCGAATGAAATGACAAACTCTAGAGATCCCCCAATGGAGGGCCTTACCCTCCCTGTGGAGTGAAGTGGGGATTGGATGGGGGACTGGGGGCCTGGTTGGGGGGAGTGGGCATAGAGATGAGGGAGAGGGAGCTGGAATTGACATGTGAAACAAGCTTATTTCTAACTAAAAAAAACTACTTAAAGTCAACAAGTTTGTGACTGACATGGGAAGCAAGCTTGTTTCTAATTGAAATATATAATAAAAAGTATTTAAAAAATCTTAAAATATATGTAACAAAAAAAAGTTGTGGTGTCTGTGCCAAGGAAACATCCTTACCTGTTACAATGACTGCTCAAATGCATTTGTGTTTTTGTTTGTTTGTTTTTAACTTTTTGCATGTTGTTTTTCAGGCCAAATAAAGGCAAAAATCTTTCAGTAAGAGTCACATCTCAGGAAGGACCCAAGACTGGCTGTTGATCAACGGAACTTCCCTTATCAGTCCTGGGGTAATCATGGAGACTGCAAAGTAGACAGAGTATTGGCTCTTTCTTTACCATTTCTTCCATATTCCTGTAGCAACTAATTACTCTACAAATCTGTTCTGGTGGCTGATGTCAAGAGCAACAGTGTCACAGTGTCACATAGGAATATAGATCTGCCAGCAAAGGGGAGCAGGGGAAAGCCCACATCCACTTTCCTAGTTTCATTTCATAGATAAACTTCCACAGGGATAGTTCCCAGATAACTTTCAGATAGCTCCCAGAGCTCCAGACCCTGACATCATCTAAGGAGCCATAGAAACGGGACAGGAACTGCCAAACATGGTAATTTTTATATAAATAGAGGTGGTTTATATCAGACAAGGGAATGGATCAAAATAAACTCCTGAAGATCCTGAGTATCTATACTCAATTGTACTGAGAATAAAGGAAGGAAAACTGAGCATGTGCAAACCACTGGGTTCAATCTCTAGTTCACTTGAGAAGTGATCATCTGCCTACTTCAATTCATCACTGTTAGATTTTAAAAGATGCCTTTGAAGAAAACTTCAGATTTATGAATTATACTTCAGTTTAAATATCACTATGGTAAAATATCATAATTAAACAGCATTTAATTATTGTGCTATTAAAATACTGAAAATAAGGTCAGATTTGCCATTTTCTCATTTACATATTTATTATTCCTTTTATTATTGAGGTCCATTAGATTTTACATTGAGGGCTTAATTTACTTTTATTTAATTGTTAATGCAATTGTGAATTCTACCTTTGTTTTTTATATTCAGAAATTGTCTACAGTTGAATTTAGTAACATCAAATGAAAAAAAACTTTTAGTAAAGATGTATTTTAGTTTGAGCTCATTAAAAACAGAATTCATATCGTCTTCCAATGTGAGCCAATGGGGAGTTCAGACTTGCTTCACTGGCAGCCCAAGGGAAGCAAAAGTTCTTGGCTGTCATTGGCCACAGTCACAGGGATACGTTTGCCACATAGAAGGGTCATGGGGGAACAGGAAGTTGAGGAGGTGGGGGTAAAATAGGGGGAAGAGGGAATCATAGGATCGAAGACAGATCAGGCACCAGAGTGACCTCGAGTAATCTAAAGGTATAACATCAATTGGCAAGCTAAGCAATAGTGGAAGGACCACCTCGAATGCCCATTCCTGATAATGAACTTGATGTCTATAACTATCCGGGAGCCTTCATCCTGGGACTGATGGAAGCAGAGGCAAACACACAACTAAGCACTGAACTGAACCCAAGGAACCCAGTGACAGAGAGAGAGGAGTGATGAGCAAATTGGCAAGGAATGGGCTGGCAAAACCAGCAGAGACGGCTGATCTGAACAGGGGAGTGCTCTTGGACCCCAGACCGACAGTGGGGAGGCCAGAATGGGACTGATCTGGACCCCCCAAATGTGAGTGTCAGTGAGAAGGCCTGGGCAACCTATGGGGCTCTGAGCTGTGGATCAGTGTCTATCCCTGGTATACAATCTGTCTTCATGTGCCTATGGCACAAAGAGAGATGCTCTCTCAGCCTGGACTCTTAGGGGAGTGCCTTGACCCTACCAAGAGTGAAATGATAGACTCTAGACATCCCCTATGTGGAGGGATTTGGCAATAGGGTGGGAGGGAGGGTGGAAGGGGAGTGCGGGAGGAGGGGAGGGAGAGGGAACTGGGATTGACATGTGAAACAAGCTATTTAAAATTAAAATAAAAAATGATTAAAAAAAAAAAAAAAAAAAGAAGAGGCAAGTGGAATTCTTAAGTTAAAGTTACATAGCATAATTCGTTATAAAACTACCCATCATTTTAGTTAATAATTGTCCCAGAAAAGAGATGTCCATATGGAACAGAGTGACTCTAAGATCCATCATATATACATTTTGTAAAACACCAAGGCTCTGGATAGAAGCAGATTTCCTAAGAAAATAGAAAATATGCATCAAGTCTAAGCTCACAATAGTGGACACACTCAAGACCAGGCTCCCCACTCTCTTGTTCTTTCCTTCACTCCTATACAGACTCATCCAGTCTGTTACAGTCCAGGGCAAATCGTGGCTGTGTAAACATCACCACTTCACTAGGAAACAGCTCAGAGAGGCAAGGACATAGCTACTCTCTAAAAACAAACTCTGGTGGACCAATAGCCAGGGGTCAAAGATGGGAGTAGGTCTCTATGGTGTCAACTAGTCATCAAACACCACTCTCCTAGAAAGTGTTTCAGACACAGAGGGCTGTCAGAACTCATGGAGAACAGATGCCCACTGAAGACCACTGGTTAGATAGAACTCAGGCAGGGAGACTTTGCCTGGTGAAGAAGGGTGGAGTGAGACAGTTGAACAGAACATGCAGGCTGACTGGAACACTCACTTGTAGAGACTCTGTCCCAGATCAGTTGTAGGACACTGATGAACCAAAGCTCAGAAGGATAGATAGTGTGTTGTGATGCTATTCGGAATGCATGCACAGAGTTGTCCAGGAGTGAGCTCAGAAGGATAGTGTGTTGTAATGTTATCGAGTATGTGTACACAGTGTCGTTCAGGAGTGAGGCCAGGTCAGACAGCAATAGGTAGCTCAGCTGATCTATTTCTAGAAGTCTGTTTTCATCTAGTATGACAATTCCTGATATGTGGCACAGCCATATGGAAGAACTGTGACAAATATACAGTTCTCATCCCGTCTGATCTAACCAAATTCATATTCTTACAATCTAAGATTAGGATTTGCACCAGGGATAAGTCTTGAGAAAATATTTTGGGGAGAATTAAACACGTGACTCTCTATTACAAAACTATATAGAAATTAATTTCAAAGCCATGATCGGCCCAGAACATCTCCCTTTGGTGGTTCTGAGCACATTTAATTTTCTCATTTTTACCCATGCTGCACTTCCCCACATTTTAACATTGCAAAGTTCACACAGGTATGAAGTCATGCAGATGAATTATTTTACCTTTGCCTGCACCTACATCAGGTGGAAGAATACCAGCTTAATGAAGGGAAACAGAAACAGGACACTATATAGTTAGATGTAACACACCCATGAGCATGTACAGCCATATAAAAAGCACTCATTAAAATTCTAAGGCATGCAAAAAGAGTTAAGCCTAGTATATCAGGCACATGAGCAAAAAAAAAAAATGTATTGCTTCCCCCACATTTACCCAATATTTAAATACAAACATTACTTAAGGTACGTTATTCTAAGAAGGATTAGGATGTTTTGACCCGTTTTTTTGGAACAGAAATTTGAATTTCATATCATACATAGAAGCTATAGAAGATACCCAACAACCAGATGACTCAGTCCTTAAGCAATTTTACAATTGAGAGATATGCAAAACCAGAAAATATTTTACAACACGTAAGTACTTTTAGGATTTGTTTTATTTTGTATGTGCGATTGCTTTGCCTACACATATGTATCAGCACTGTGTGTGTGCCTAGCTCCCCCCGAGGTCAGAAGAGGCCATCGGATATCCTGAACTGGATTTACTGATGGTTGTGAGCCATCATGTGGGTGCTGGGAACTGAAACTGGATCCTCTGTAAGACAAAAGGGACTCTTAACCACTGAGCTGTCTCTTTACTCTCATTTTATACTATTCTAATTCCTTCATTGAATCAAAAAATTCCCGAATCACTTTTGAAAATATTCAGTTTAATGGGAAATGTTTTGCCTTCTCTGAAGATGGCATACCAGAATGCATTTTCTATTTTAAGAATAAAATAAGTGCAATATTTAATTGTCTTTAATTTCTTGCTAGAAATTCTTAATCAAAATGTAGATAAGCAAGTTATTTCTGGTGAATCGGGACTATAACCAAGATTATATATAAGCACATATGTATATGTATAGGCACTAAAGTTACATTAAACTTTGAATTCAAGTGTGATAAATATTGTTATTTCTTATTCTGCTTGGATATTTTTTAAACGTATTTATTTATTTTATGTGTGTCTATTTGCACGGTTCACGTGCACTCAATGCGTGGCAGGTGCCTCGGGAGGCTAGAGGAGAACCTCAAATCTGTAACTGGTGTTGCAGGCAGCGGTGAGCCACCATGTGAGTGCCAGGAACTGAACCTGGGTCCTCTGCCTGAGCAGTGAGTACTCTCAACCACTGAACCATCGGCCTCCTCACACCCGTATTTTAATGTAAGTTAGAAGTTTTGTATAGGCTTGAAAAGTAAATGACCAAACAGCTGAACAAAATAACTGACTTTTCCCCTGGTACATTGGGATGAGAAATTACAAGTAAGTATGTTATTAGGTACGATGGATATTCCATAGTAAGAGAAAAAGAGAAGGAACAAATTCACGATGCCTTTTAATCCCCTGATACTTGTAATTGTATGGATTTTATACATACCCAGCTTACCTTCGTCCACAGTGGTTATCGCTTCCTCCGTAATCTGACTGCCTGATCCCACTGATGTTTGTGCATAGAAATAAAACTTGTACCGAGTGCTGAAATTTAAATTCTTTAAAGTCCAGCGTGTCTTGTTGGCAGGAATTTTTAAATCTACCAGAGGCCCTAGTTCATGTGTGCTGTTAACTGCCAATGAAAAGTAACAGACAAGTGCATTCCCTGTTAGTTGTCATAGGAATAATACCATAAGTCATAGTTTCAGCAAAAGCAGAAAAACAGTCATGTTCAGTTTACAAGTCTTTTACAGCCCTTTTCATGCTTTGGCTAAGACACTGATAACTATTTAAATTGCAATGTGTAACCTATAGTATGAAATGAAGAAGTGAAAACAATTTTCCTCTTGGCTTACAAACTAGGGGACCTCTACAGTTGGATTGCAACAGCAGTTATTATTCTGCCTTTGCAGATGGAGTTCTGTATTGTTAACAACTCCAAACAATTCTCTTGGCATCTTGTGGCCAAGAAGCTTTCACTTCATTTTCTCTTGCCAGATAATGGTCCCCTAGCCTATTGATACATTTGGCAATCTGCATTGTTCTAAAGAGACCTTAATTTTCAATAGCACATACATCATTTTTCTATACAGGTATTCTCTGAAGCTCTTTCTGCAACAGTACTTGAAGGACCACATACACCAGAAAATGAGCAGCTTGCATCTCACAACAATAGCGGTGACTTACTTGGCTGATATTTTAAGGTGTACTCGGTCAGGATGCCATTTGGGTGGCTTGGCGGGTCCCACTCCAAAGTGAGAGAGTCCAGTGTTGGATTGACAATTTTCAGAGATGAGGGAGCACTGGGGACTTTTAATGAGAACAAACAGTCAACACAATTTTTAGAAAAAATTCTGAAGTCAACACACCTGTCCTATTTACACAATTGATCCAAGTTTTGCTTTTCAGGTTGGTTTTTGACTCTGCTGGAAATACAGTGACACAAATATGTGGCAAGGATGCATTTCTTTTCTTCTCCTGTCTTCTTTAAAAAAAACACTTCCATTTAAATTCATTAAAATCATCTTCTCAAAATACACAATGACTATCTTTATAGGTACTCAATCTATTTTCAAGCCAACAGCACTTAACTCAGTGTGTAACAGAGAACTGGTTGCCAAGGGAGACCATCCATGCAGGCCTTTGAGAGGAAGCAGCTGTGTTCTCGCCCATTAAGGACTATTTCCCCCAACAAACCAGGTGTCTCCTTATAGTCCCAGCACCCTGCCTGATGGGCTTTGTGCCCAGGCCAGGTTGCCCAAGTGATGAGCTGTGCTTATTCCAAGTGCTCACAGCTTCCCAGTACAGGAAAGTAAAATACAAGAGGCCCATATGTTGGCTTACCCCATCCCAGCATGGACAAGGCACAAGGGCTTCCAGTCTGCTAGGCAGAGGCTGGAAAATTATCAGAGGAAAACAGGCCTCATCTTTCACACCCGTCTTTATGAGCTTTGGGGCTGATCTCCACCAGGATGTTGCCTTCCTGCCATATTCCCTAGAAACCTTTGAATAATGCCATTATCCCTCCTTCACTCTAGCCGGAAACTGGAGAGTCAATTTGGAGTTCTTGTTTTTACCATCTCCTGGGATGCTAAACCTTGGCAACTCTCTCAGCCATATCCATTCCTTCATCCTCTCCGCTTCTCTCCTTCTCCTGTGCTGTGCCTGGGCCTACAATCATGCCTGCCGTGGGCTTCTAAGCTTCAGCCTAATTGGTTCTTAACTTTTGGAAATCACAGGTCTCTTCTCTCTAGAAAAAAGTATGTTGACATGCTGCATGGTGTTGTTTCTGGAGGTCTGTAGTGTCCTCAAATGTCTCAACAGATCCTAAAAGAACACTGTGGTCTGCAGGCTTCTGGTCCACAAGTTAGCACCCACGGCATCTGTGGGCCCTCTCTCACTGCTGTATCTCTTTGCCCACTCTGGCTATACATCTTGCATTTGGTAGGAAGTGAGCTTTTTAATGCCTCTGTGACCTCAGACGAACTGTTCTTTCCCCCTCCACTTCAGTCTTTAATCCCATTTGTCTTTTCTACGCCACCATCCAAAGGACCAGCATAGGGCCTCACTGATGAGAGATTACAAGCAAACAGCCCTTCTGCCTCAGCGTCTTGGGTGCTGGGACTGCAGGCACGACCAAGCCGGATACCAGACTTCTAGCCTTCTAACTCTGTACAACTTTGTAAGAAGTCATGAAGGCTTATGAGTCAACCCCAACTCACAGAAACACCTTCCTTTTGGGGAATTTTCCTTCAGCACTCACACTGAATTACTAAAGCTTAGAGAAGTTTTTGGTTGTTTGTTTTGCTTTGTTTGGTTGGTTTTTTTTTTTGAGACAGAGTTTCTCTGTGTATTACTGGCTGTGCTGAAACTCACTTTGTAGACCAGGCTAGCCTTGACCTCACAGAGATCTACCTGCCTCTGCCTCACACATGCTGGGATTAAAGATGTGGACCGCTACACCAGACAAAGTTTAGAGAAGTTACAGAATGAAACTTAGTTCAGAAAGCTGATGACTCAGACACACTGACAATGTTTCACATACCCTAAGTGAGGAGGAAATGCTAAGGATAAGGAGAAGGTATCTGGAGCCTACATTCTGGATTCTGAAGCTCATATATGAGTGACATTGTGTCAGCTTTGTTGTGTTGTGTTATAATCATGTATGACGTTTTCAGAGTATTCTCTCAATGGTGGGCCTTCTGCAGTACAAAACCTTTCAGGATATGTTTCTGATGCCAGAGACACACCCATTCCGTACCTCCCTCTGGAGTATGGAAGCCTCTGTCGGTGCTGGCTGGGCCCTCTCCTTTCCCGTTGACCACTCGGACATTGAGAGTGTAGTGACTGTACGGTTGCAGCCCTGGTAGCATGCCATGAGTTTTGCTGCCCTGGAAGGTGAGGATCTTCTTCTCAATGTGACGTCTGTTTCTTTTGGATGAGCCCTGAGCCTTCCAGTAGTAAATCTGAAGTGGCAAGAACCAAAGTCAGGACTCACAGAAAACCAATATGATTCCTTATGCTTACAAAACCCAAGAACTGGGGTTGGCAAGGTGGCCCAGCCAATAAAATTCTTTGCTATGTGAACACCTGTCAACCTGAGTTACAGTCCTGGAACCCACATAAAGGTAGGAGAAGATAACCAACGCCACAGAACTGTCCTCTGACCTCCTCACACGCACTGTTGCTTGTGAAACTCCCTTCTTGCTCATCCTATGGACTTGTAGGAGTGCCTGTGCCCGTGCACAATTTCTTTCAGCTGAACTGCTCTTTTCTAAGAAAAATATCTTGGTTCACTGTACTTGAGTATCAGCAAACTGATGGATAGTGATTCTTAGACTAGAGAGACAGACCCGCAGATGGTGAGGAGTTCTGCTTTGCTATTTTGTTGGAGGAATATAAAGGAATTGGATGAAACAGAATGGGTCTCACTTGGTTCTTTCAAAAGTGAGAAAAATGACCATAATGAAGATGTAAGTGTTCTACCTGCATACACTTTACTGCCATTGTTTATATTCTCTTGAAGTTACACACATCTATTTAGCACATCACGTAATTTAATCCTCACCCTGGTGAGGTGTTTATCATTTTTTATGGTACTGTTGAGCTTATGGCTTACTGATGGATTCTTCCAAAGCCACAATGACCCTATACTGCAAGTCTTGGGTTAGTTCATTCAGCCACACTATCATCTAATTAAAAGTAATTCTAAATTGCAGGCACAGGTTTTGGAAAGATAAGCAAAGTGCTGCAAACTTTGGTCAAAAGGCAAGAACCTTTGCCTATTACATTTTCTTGAAGGCTTCTTAGGAACTTAAAGGCATGTTTCAAGATAAGTCAACACATGCCAAATCTGGTCAGTATTAGGAAAAAAGAAAACAGTGCAGTTCAAAAGGCATCCTCTAGGGGTCAGTGTCAAATCAAAGTAGTGATATAAATGTATGTGAGATTCTTTAGCTATATGTGAATAAAACATCTCTAGGAATCAGTCTTTCTGTGTTTTTGAAAATAAAGATGATAATGTTCATAAGGATGCCTCAGTTATGGACCACAGACTCTTAAAGCGTATTTTATCTAACAGTAGAGACAGTGTTAATAAATTTGTCTTGTGGTCTCCTAACACTAGGTCAGAGGTCAGAGGACAGATTTATTCCTTCTGCCTATATAACTGTAAATCTATGTGCGATTTGTTCTAGTCTACTTCTTTACAGATCAGTTTGCCATGTTTCACATGGACTGTTCAGTTCCAGAAAGGGCAGGAAACCTGAGAAAGACAGATATGACATCATTTTCTCACCCCAGATAAATAAGATCTCAAGTCAGCTGTAGCTGGATTCTGTAGGTGTGGGTGGAGGCACTGAGCTAAGGGTCTCATGGATTCACAAGTCCATCAAGAGAAAAGCCACATAATTTCAACCTCAACCAGTGTGCATTTCAAGCTGCCCTCACCACGGCCCTGCTACTAGCTAAAGAACGCAAAGGGCTTCCCTTCACCTACCCGGTAGCCTTGTAGGTGTCCTCGGACACTCTTCAGAGGTACTGGGTCCCAGTGTACCTCTGCCAAGGTACTGTTCACCACATTGACACGTACATTCCCAGGAGCCACCATCGGAACTAAGAACAAGACAGGACAGGTTGGTGCAAATCGCTGGTTTATTATTTCATGTAAAAACGCCACAATATTCAATAAGTTTGACTTGAAACACACTCCACACTATAGTATACAGTCCTGTACTACATATTAGTGATAGTTAAAAGTAGACTTTTTAAAATGCATTCACTCGACTCCGTGAAAGCAAGTTTTTGTTTAACATTTTGAATTTCGATTTCCCCCCACCTGGAGGTTCTGGGTTTGGAATCGAGAGCCTTACACGCGTTAGGAAAGTGCTCTACCAGCAAGCCATTCCCCTGGTACCGAATCACTATCACAGAGTAGGCTGTGCAACTGCAGACAAGTAAGCAAAATGACTGCTACTTCTTTCTCCTCCCTTGCTAGCCCAGGATCCTCTGGAATAGCCTCAGTTTGCAGCTGGGTAGGTTTGGCCATCTGGGCAAGGGTATAACAGAAAGAGCAGGGGACACTTACGGTCTTCTCCAGAGTGACCCATGACTGCAGCTGGCTCTGGAGCAAACCCCACATCATTCAGAGACTGAACCTTTATCAGGTATGGGACGAAGGTTGGCGTGCCGGAGACGATGTATTTGGATACGTTGGCCACAACCACAGACGTCCATTCATCATCGCCATCTTTCTGGCGCCAGCTCACTTTGTATTGGAGGCCAGGCCCGTTCGATTCAAAACCATTCAAGGGCTATGAAAAAAGTCAAAGAGAATGATGGTACAACCTTTTGCGGGAATGGCAAATCCAATTCCTAGATCAAAGAAAATGAATGCTCAAATACTAAAATGCAAGCTATGAAATACCCATGTCTCCAGAGGTCTCTTCCCTTTTTTTTCATTTGTGATGAAATTCAAAGTTGGTTTGGAATGAAGCTTTGAAAATTTACAAATTTGGGAAACTGCACATTGTAATTCCAAAGTAGTAAATAATGTGCAAGGCTTCCAAAGATTGGCTCCATAAGTAAGTGTGGGTAAACCTTACAGCAGTCGGTTATCTGGATTTAGTTTATATATTCCTCTTTGTGTCACTGCATACCATCGTGGAGACAGAAACTTACAAACCATCTCTCTATTTAAAATCTGGGTCTGTCTGTTCTAACATATGTGCATATACATGCCTAGATCTTAGATAGGTTTTGATGTTACACAAATCAATATTTTCATTCTAATTATTCAATTTCAAACCCAGAAAATACAGATAAAGTAAATAAAAATAATTATAATGATAACTCACTGCTGAGAATAGCTTGATGCAGGTCTTCTAAATGGTCTCTTTGATGATGACGATAACAGTAGCATTTTTGAGCACGTATTTGTGTATTTATTTATTTAGCATGCATTATGCTAAGTGCTTCATATACATCAGTTCCTGTCATCTTATATAATTGAATTATTATTCTCATCATATAGATGACTGATAGACACTTGGTAATTGGCTATAATTATCAAAGGTGGACTTTTCAACTGTCCATTTTTGGCCCCAGAAATAAAGCTTTTTAATTTCTATATAATACCACATTCTAAATAAAGATAAATATTTTTCCATAATAGGAGAAAAGGGATATAAGCACAGATGTTATTCTAAAACAATTCATTCTTCGCTGTCTATGAGAGACCGAGGCAAATGGGAAGCTTTGTGGCTCACCTTCCAGGTAATCACCAAGTTGTCAGGCTCTGTTCCTAGTCCTTCCACGGCCGTGGGATTTTGATCTGGTTCTAGAAATGACGCCATCACACATGAGTAAGCTTTGGCTCTGGAAGGAGTGGGAAACCCTTCTCCGTTCTGTTGGGTCCCTGTGGTGCACCTTACCCGCAGCTTTCGTCAGGTATTGCTCTGATGCCTCACTGGGCACACTCCTCCCGATGCTGTTCTCCGCCATGACTCGGAAGGAGTAGTTCACATATGGAGACAGCTTCAGCTGTGCTGTGGTCTGTGTTCCAGAAACTTCAGCCTGGTGGTGCCATATCCCTGCTTCACGCATTGCATCTTCGTATTCAATGATGAATTCTGGCCATTACACCACACATACCACAAATCCAAGTCAGTGAATTCAGTCAACCTAAGCACAGCTTGCTAGAGATAATTTGTGGAAAGCAAGAGTAGCCAGACACAAGTGATTTTTTTTCCAGGAAAAATCCTGTTAGGGTATTGTGAGTTCAGCACTCAAGGATGTGCAGTATTTGACATTTTCCTCCACCATGCAGAACTCAGCTTGTTAAAACTGTTTAGACTTTATCCATATATTCTAATGGGAAGTTTAAACATATGAAAAAGTGCTCAATTACTGTCACAGAAATGAGTAACTGTAGAAAACACAGTTAAGGAGCTGTTTTTCTTGAGGAAGATTAACAACGATCAAATGTTTAAGGTATTTTGTTGTGTGACACCTCTGAGACCTCTTGGGAAGTATAAACTGATACACTTCTATGCAGGACAATAGAGAATGTCTAACAATTTTAAACATGCACAGTTTCTGAAGAACTGTACTTCCAGCAACTGATCTTGAACAAATGTGCTTACCCATGTGGTGTAAAGACACATACAAAAGAATCCACATTGCTGCGTGGCTCACAGTTGAAGCAAACTGGTTACAAACAAGCTAGATGCTTGCCAGTGGCCATATGTAACCAAATATGGTCCACACACACTCTGCACCTGTTATAAACGATGATGCTCTGTATGGACAGAAGTGCACTGTATCTAAGTGCACTGATGGCATAGAAAGGAGCAGGACATAGAAGAGTGCACATAGTGCCACACCTGTTTAACAGTAAAAAGGCCTGCTAGATAACACACACTTGGATATACATGGATTTCTTGTCAGAAGGTACACACTCATTAAGAGTGGTATGGCCTGAGGGGCTTGCAGACACCAGTGGGAGGAAGACACACTTTTCAGGGGTACAGTCTATACTTCTAGTAATCAATGTTGTCGTGTGTCATGTTTTACCTTTGTGAGAAATTAGGTGTTTAAGTATGTCATACCCTGCATGAAATTGCCTTGAGGCACTTAACATTTTCTACATGACATTACTACGTCTTATTGCGATAATGCCATGCCTCCGCAAAGCACTTCTGAATGTATCTCAGTCCTGTCTTTCCTTCCACAAGTCAAAATTCATTTGGGAGGCATGCCCTGAGCCACTGAAATATTAGTCATCCTTTGGCTACAAGAAGTCTTGGGTGGGTGGGAAGAAATGTCCATCCCACAGACTGCAAAGCAAAGAGTGGCTAGGAAAGGCTTTGGATCTGCCACAGAAAGAGGCTACTAAAACCACTGGGGCTGACAAGCAGCACCTGTTTACTGGGGCTCAGGGATACCACAAACCAAAGGAGCAAGTGACAAGTGTCCACAAGCTCCTTACCCACATCTGTGCCCTTGTCGCTGGCCTTTCTCCAGCATCGGACGACCCATCAGGAAGCTGCCTCTGAGCTACATCTTTTCTGGTGGTTTTCATTCATTATTCCTCTTCTTTTTCCTTCTTACTGTTTTCTTTTCACTGTACTAAATATGATTTCTTCCTCTAATTTTATTTCCAAACTTTCTCTTTGTTGGAAAATAGTTTTTTTTCTTTTTGATCTCTCACTGCGTATTCCCTTTATAGTGTTCTTTTCCAATTTTCCTCTTTTTCCTTTCTTTCTTTTTCTCCTTTCCATTCCTTCTCCCTTGATCTCATTCATCTGCCACTTCTGTTTTACCCTATATTACTCTTAACCTCACAAAGCCCTGGACATTGTGGGCTTTAGTCATTTTGAGCTTATTTCCTGTTCATTTTGATGTTGTTCCTGCAGCAATCTGTTTTCTCCTCTCTGAATGGAGTGGCTGCTGTTCAGTAGACTAATCCCCCATGTGAAACTAAAAGAGACACGTTGAGTCAACAGATGCACCAACTGCAACAGAGGAAGGTGTAATAGATCAACCTACCTGTGGCTTTGGAATGATCCGGAAGGGCAGTTGGTCTTCCTGAAGCCCACACTTGAAGGTGACAATGTGTTTCAGGCTTATGACAGACTATTTCAGTTCTCTAGGGTATCTCTATAGTTTTACAATCAAACCTTAAAGTCTACTATATCCTGATTTAATAAATGTCTTTATGTCTATATGCCTTGTTCTCTCAACTGATTTCATTCCCTCTGCCAATGTAATCAAAGTGAGGCACTGACAGGTTGAATGTGTCATTTTGTAACAAAGGGCAAAGGGGGGAAATCACCTATGTTGGAAGTTAAGGGCCTGTTGTATTCAAGTAGTTCTATCACAAACTGTTAGTCCATAACAGAGAACCAAGATCAATTTCTCAATGTTTATTCTGACCTTCCAGCACCCCCAAGAAGCAGTGGATTAAATGAATGACTAACAAGATGCATCTCTCTACTGTGTCCATGCTGGATAGTTTTATGTAAACTTGTTACAAGTCACAGTAACACAGAGGAGGGAGCATCATTGGAAAAATACCTCTATGAAATGGGGCTGCAGGCAAGCCTGTAGGGCATTTTCTTAATTAGTGATTGACAGGGGAGGGCTCAACCCATGGTGGGTGATGCCATTGTTGTACTGTTGGTTCAGGCTCTATAAGAAAGCAGGCTGAGCAAGCCATGAGGAATAAGCCAGCAAGCGGCACTCCTCCATGGTCTCTGCGTCAGCTCCTGCCTCCAGGTTCCTGCTTTGTCTGAGTCCCTGTCCTGGCTTCCTTCGATGATAAATAGTATTGTGGAAGTGTAAGCCAAATAAATACTTTCCTCCCCAAGTTGCTTTTGGTCATGGTGTTTCATAGCAGCAGTATTAACCCTAGCTAGGAGAGTGACAGACATGTAAGGTCTTTCTGAATGATATTAAAAACAAATGACAATGGGTTTGCTTGATTAACTTTTTCAGGAATTAATTAATTAGTTGTGCCAGAAGCTATAACCAGCAACATCTCCAACTCAAAAGAGCACCATACTTCGGTTCTAACAGCAGTGATGAAGAGAATGCCAGCAAATGCATTTTCAAGAAATTACAGCAGTGTATCACAAAAATGTTACAGATACTGCATCAAGAATGGCCATTAGGTTTACCAACTATAAAGCAAAAACACCACATACTTGTAATGGGGCTATTGTTGTCATCGCCTGGGGTCCATGTCAGCTGAACACTTTTGTCAAGTTGATTGGTCAACTCTAAATCAAAGGGAGGATTCGGGACATCTGTGGAGCAAACACACACACACACACACACACACACACACACACACACACGGTTAGCTGTCACTTTAAAGGGCAGTTTTATTCTTTATTTGTGATGCTATGCACAGAGGGACACCTTAGTGACACATCAGTCTCATTGGTCACTGAGCATGCGATGGCAAAGAGCAGACACCACTGAGACAGATGAGAGCCCTGCACGCCCAAGGCTACCCATCAGGGAGTTCTGTTTGCTTGCTTTTCCGGAGACACAAAATCATTGTTTGCCAAATCCGCTAAGGCAGAGCGTGAGGGTCCTCAGCAAGCTCAGTATGTGTCCTCTCATGAGCAAAAGGGAGCACAGGCAGACATAACATCAGGCTCATTTCCAACAATACAAGGGAGACAGAATAGTCAAGGCTGACATCAAATGCAGGCAAGTGGCATGCTCTGGTCAGAGGATTTTCAGTGTCCCGAGGCTGGATGAAAAAAATGGATCTGGAGGCTGCTGAGGATTGTTTTCAAGGGTAGGGAGCTCTCCGCATGCACAGGCATGCTTCCTTTCAGCTGCCTGCTGCAGTGGTGCTCTCGAAGGCTAACTCTCTTCCTGAGGCTTTGCTCCTGAAAGTGTGCCTGACTTCCGCGGGACCCAAGGACATATACATATATGGGCCTTCGTTTTCTCATCACTAAGGTCCACAGAGGACAGGTTTTATAGGGAACGAATCTGTCTGAGGTTATGCCACAAAATTATGTTTGATATTTGTGTGCTAAATAAAGATGAGTTTTCTAAACAAAACCATTTCTGGAGATAAATTCTGACTATTTTCTAGACTCAGAAAAATAACAAGGCATTGTCAGGTTTCCCCTTTTGTTCATTCCCTCGTGACTTTTCTTTTAACACCAAGTGAGGATATTTTCTCAGATAGAAAAGTTAGATGTTCTATACACCCATGTTTTTCCTGGGAGTACACTACTCAGAAATGGAATCTCAAAACAATATAATATTCCCTTATGTTTATTATCATTAGTGGTATGTTATATTTGTATATGTGGGGATGGGATGCACACACATGTCTGAGCACATAAAGGATAGAACATGATGTCTTCTAGGTGGCTGACTAGTGATCTCCCAGGATCTGCCTGTCTCTGTCCCCCAACACTGAAGTTACAGGCATGCATTGTCATGTTCTTCTTATGTATGTGTTCTGGGGATCTGAACTCCTGTCCTCTTGCTTTCATCCACTAAATCATCTCCCCAGTCCCAAAACAAATCTCAGTATACAAGTAAAACCCATTTTGCAGAATGATTCTAAGAAACACATTTTTCATTTAGTAAAACAAATGAATATGTTACCATACAAGGAAACTATCAAAAAGGGATCTTATAAGATGGAATAAGTTTATAATAGCAAAAAAATATTTAGGAAAAAACTGGAAATTCAATAAGCAAAATAGTCTAACCTTACATTGTACTATAAGGTTTTAAGGAATAATTGACCATGACAAATGAAGCCATTTTCCTAAAAGAAAAGCAATGATATGACAGACAGGAGAAAGCAGTGTCTGCAAATGTGAAATGATTTAACAGAAGACAGAAGAAGAAGACTCATTAGTTTACCGTAAATGGGGGCTGGAGTTGGAGGAGGAGCTAGAAAGGACATTAATATAAAGGATTTTTAATCAAAATTAGTAATGGAAACATAGAAGACAAAAGCAACACAGTATTATTATTTTAATTAAGCTTTCTATTTCATTGTGAGGTATGGCACTGGCAAATGGACAGTGACAATTTAGGAATACAAGACCCCTCCGATTCTATAGTCTATATTTCCTCAATTTTCTTGTGTTACTTATATGAACATCCCCCATTTTGTCACAGTCTGTATATCTACACAGAGCATATTTATATGGAAATATAAGGCATCTCTGGAAGAAGACAAACACCCACGCTTGTAGCTATGAAACTATAACAAACAAACACTCCATATCTACTACTTTCTTCCCCGCCTAATACAGAGAGCCTGGCTGTGCTGTATTTGTTCTTGCTCTTACCAACAACCCTGAGCACAGCACTGGCGGAAACTCGGTCCAGCGTTGTGTTGGCTGCACACGTGTAGGTCCCGCCATCATCATCACTTACATCAGTTACCACCAGGTGGTCCTTGTCAATGGAGAATCTGTGAACAGAACACACGTAGAGCAGTTGAAATGGCATCAAGATGCAGCTGCCTGACGCATGCCTTCAGCACTTAGAGTGAACCCTATATATAGCTTTAGTAATTAATAAACCTGGAAAAACCGATAGTGACTCAACAGTTTTCTGTCAGGCTTATGGAGTCTTAGGAAACTCGGCAGCAACCTTCCTGGGGTGGGGGAAAAATCACACAGTATACCATAAATATGTACAACCATTGCATGCCAATTCATTTTTTTATTGGTCAAAGTTACTGCCTGCATCCTGAGGTGAGACGGTTGGCTCCATATTTACCTCCACTAGAGGGCTTCAGTCAGGCTTCTGTGGTTATTTTGATCTGTTCCATTTGTCTCAGAGTGCAGATGTTTTTAAAACTTACTATTTGCTGCAGAAAGTTTGTACTGTTACTGTTTTTCCCACATGAATAAAGGCTCATGCAGTAACTAGGGGAAAAGTGTTGAGATCTTTCTGGTCACTAGGTCAGCAGTCTTCACTAAGAGATTCTAGAAGTTACTTGCATCATGCCTGCAGGATTCATGTATGGTTCCAAGGAGGCTGCATAAATTGTAATCTGTCTTCTAAGTAATTTCCAGTCAAACCTCAGTTGATCTAACTCATGGTCATTTCTTTATGTTCTCTTCTCTTTACCACCTTGGGTTTCACATAAAAAATTGTCTGGATGGAAACATGTACTTTGGGCACATGGAGAGAAAGGCCAGAAAGTTATTGTGTGGTCATTAGCAAGCAAGAGGGTACCATTCGGTCATCCCAGGTTTAGGTCAGCTATAAGCAAATCATGGAAACCATCTCAACCAGAACACAGCATTCCTAGCAGTGGGTATCACTTGTGTCCACTCTAATGGCTTAAATCATGAATGTAACTGTTTTTACTAGGTCAAGCTGAAGGCCTCGGGTAGAAAACACCAGGATCTTCCTTCCATTTCAAGCTATAGGACTGAATGCACCCCCATTAAATGGTTTACTTTATTTTGACTTTGTTTTTCTTTCTGCAAGTGTTAGATTAAATTTCTTTTTAAAGGCAATTCAATATCCAGATTCAAAGCAAGTACTCTTTAAAAATACTGGCAGAGTCAGGGGCATCCCTGATTATGGAGCCTGGGTATCTGCTTATTTGTAGAGTACAGATGAAAACATCTGCTGAGACTTTGCCATTCAAATCGTACAACTGTGGATGCTGTCCAAAATCTGGAGGGCTTTTTCCATCCTTAATTTCACAGGAGATCAGCACACAAAGACCAACAGTCTCAGGCTCTTATTTCAAACACCCAATGCCCTTTTACTTCTAAGTATTTTGCAGTAAAAGAAAATGTTTATCTCATAATTTTTGCAGACAGCTGACTTCAGACACTGAAACCATGGTGTCAGTGACCTTTTGACATAGAGCAGTTTACAGAGAGGGATGGAGGAATCTAGCAGCTGAAATACCTTTCATCGTTAGGCAGCTCCCCATTGTCCTTCAACCACATGATGGTAGGGATTAAGGTATGGTCATGTTTCACTTTGCATTCAAAGGACACTTTGCTCCCCCTCTGCACGACTGCATATTCAGGTTGTTTAATGATCCTGGTTGGATCTAAAATTCAAAGTTATTGTTATCCATTTCAGCAAAACTGGAGAATTTGCTCTGTGTCATATAATACTTGAAAACACCCATGACCTCTGTCTTACCTTTGATTTCCAAGTGAACTTCATTCTTTGCCATCCCTAATTTATTTCGTGCAACGCATGTATACGTCCCTGTACTATCCTTTTGGGCCACAGGAATTTCTAACGTTCCATTGTCATGTAAAACATAAATGTCTTCATGAAGAGCGCTTCCTCTAGTTCCTTTAAACCTTCATTACAAAAGTTACCAGAGTGAGAATAAAACGCAACAGAATCTGGTTTGCAGCAAGTATCAAGCTCAGAGACATTTGGAATGACTACAGAGATTAGATTTCCGCTTATCTGTAAAGTGGGCATGAAAACTTCTGATGAGATTTCACTTTTCAAGTTATAAAACCAAAAATGTTGTCCAAAACCTGAAGGGTTTTCCACAAGCACACTTCTGATACATCAGAGGATAATGAAAAGAAGGCACAGGAAACAGGAGAACGCAAAAATCAGTGGAGTTTGCAAAATCAGAACAACAAAATATAACTGGTTGCCATTTCTATGAGATATATAATTGAATAAAGACATTACCTACTTTATCCTTAAACAGCTCATACAATAGGCAAAAGTAAGACTACCTTTTCTGCTACAGACCACAGGGTTATACACTGAGAATTTAGTTGACAAAATCACGAGGCTGACCCACAAGGATCACACATTCCAATGGAGGACACCCAGATCACAGGGCACTGGTAGTATTTGCCTTCTGAATAGTTGCTATCACTTTTGTAAAACCCTTGTGAAGTCATAGCACTCCCTTTTCCATGATGGGATTCATCCCAAAAATCTCCAGCAGTGCATTAATTAATTATTGGGCATAATTCCCTCATGTACTAGTATACTGGATGATCTTCCCCCATTCCATGGGGCCCTGATGTGAAAGTATTCACAGTCAAGAAATGTTTTGCTCATAGTCAAATCTAATCCCGTTCCCTATCATAAACTTAAAAGCTAGCCCCCCACACACACACAATTATCCTTTATGGCAGGACATCTGGCCATGGGAGGAGCCTTTAAATAGACCACATTCAGAGTCTCAAAGGACAGGCACGGAGAAGGAGGATACAGCATGTTGCCCTCATGGTAAGCAGGGTGCTCTGATTCCCCTAACAGCTGACTTAGGAGAGTACAACCTTAACTGCCCCGGGCTCTACCGTAATGGGCTAGTAAAATTCTGTACCTCCACTTTGGTACAGATCTCTGTCTGGGAAACTAACTGTGCCTTTACCCCTAGAGATCCAGGAAAAAGCTATGGCTCACACTTATCCAGCCCCGAGAGAAAGGAATTCCTTCTCACTTGGGCATCAGTGGGAGCAAGCACACCACCACTTAGCCCAAGGCTAAGGATAATACAGTGGGAATTCAGCTCAGCCTCCAGAATTTACACTACATATCCAGTTTTTCCCTTTGATCTACCCACCTTGGATGTAATATCTAGATCTGAGAGGTCCCCGTTAATGAGCTAACATTTGGCGAAAATGCTAATGTGTATCCAACGCCACCCACTTTCCTTCCTCAGCTTACACCAGCTTCCCACCAATGTGAAACCACAAACAAGAGCTCAGAAAGCAAAGAGCTACAGTGTCTCTTCCCCCTTTTCTACCTTCACTGCCTACAAACTTCCAGCTTAACTAGTCACACTTGAGAACCCCGTGTTTCTCCTCCTAGACTTCTATAATGATTTAAATCTCTCTCCATAGTAGATCCTCCCAGCATCTGCCAGGCAGTCTCACCACCACTCCCCATCTGAGATATAAAGTGACATAACGGACACCCCCTTTTGTTAGCCCTTATCTGATTCCTTGGCCCTGGAAAATGCTTGCCAGTAACGTTGCTATTGCCAGAGAGTTGTGAATTGCCTCTGTGTGGGTATATAAACTGGAAACCTTGTGGGATGGGAGAATTTTTTTTTGGAAGAATAAAGAGACCTGATGAGAAGAGGATGCAGATGAGCTGATTCGTTCCCTTCACTCTCAGAAGCCTTTAGCTAGTTCCCTAGCTACTTGTACTGTTCTTTCTTGATCCTGAGAGGTTAGGGGACTGGTATCCCCAATACACCTTGATGCTTTTCATTATGTTTTTCTCCCAATTGCAAGATTAAATTTTAAAGACAATTGGATTTCAAGGCTAAGGATTATACTCTGAAAGTAGAACTAGCAAATGTTCAGGTAATGTAAAGAAAATGCACGTGTGATGTTGGAGAACAGATGAAAATGCCCTGACAAGGTCAGTGTGGGCTGTTAACCTCACCACCTTCACTAGGAAGTCTGTGTGTCCGTGTTTCTCTTCTCTGGAGTTAGGGTTGGTCGTCGGGAGACTTCTCTTTAATCCTAGGCTTGCTGTCACTCTCATCTCTGCAGTGGATGGTCAGTACATACCTGTTCTAACTGTTCTCCGTGCATTCTCACCCTCCCTTGTCCTGTCCAGCTCTCCTAAAGCAAGCAAGCTGGCAGTGACTGGGAGGATGTGGATGATGAGGAAGGAGGGAGGAGGACATAGGAGCTCCGCTGGGCTAACAAAGCACCAAGTCCTCTCTGAGCCCATATAACACCTCCTCCAGTTCTGTGCCATATTTTAGATTTATTTTGTTCTTTTATGTAAATGGGCATTTTCCCCAGTTATATGAATGTGTACCACAGGCATGCCTGGTTCCCAGGGAGGTCATAAATGGGTATAGAATCCCCTAGGACTGGGGTTACAGAGTTGAGAGCCACCCAGTGGGTGCTGGGAAAAAAGAATACATGGGTCCTCTGCAAGAGCAGTAAATGTTCTCAACCATTGAGCCAACTTTCCATCCCGACCCTATGCTGTTTTATTATCAAGAACATGTTTCCTAACCAGTCCTTCAGATGCTATCTACAAAGTTCTAGGCAATGTCCATGATTGTGAAATACTAAAAATCATTACAGTTTTGTAGTTAATAGAGCATCTTGGTATGTGAAAGTATTTATTATACCCACAGAGTGGGTAGTTAATAAATATCTGAGAAAAAGTAAATAAATTTAATAAGTAGTAATATGATAGATTATATATTGCATTTTTCCTGTTTATTTTTTACTAAAGCCAGGCATAGTTACAATTATGTATCAAAAAGGAAATAAAGGTACTACTTACCACTCAATGGTAGGCCGAGGAGACCCAAAGAAAGCACAATCTAACAGAGCAGGTCTGTTAGCGATGACCTGGTACAGTGTGTTTGCAGATGTGAGAATTCGAGGTGGTTCAGCTAAAACATTGTAAAAAGGCATAGTAAATAATAGATACATCTTAGACATTATCATGTTTTGTTTAAGGTCACTAAAGTTTGTGGTAAAGTGCAACCAACATGATATTTCCCATATGTTCTGTATCTGTGACATCAGTAGTCACTTAACATAGAAGAAACACCTCCTACTTCATGCTCAACATGTTACTCACGTGTTAGTCAGTTACTGGTTTGCTTCTCTGTGTTTCCTATGCTGTTTAATTGTAGATTCACTTATTTGCATCCCTTACGACACTGGGTGTCTTATAGTGAAAGAATGCAACTGTTTCATCATTTTATCCACAGCAAAGTGTCTGGATGGAAAATATGACTTTGCTGAATGACTGACCCATTATCACTCTAGTGGGTAGGGTTGTTTGGGACACATGAAGAGGGCAAAGAAAAGCGGGGTGGGGAGTGTGGTTTCTGAAGAGCAGAGGGGACGAAAAAGCCTTTTCCAGCCAAGAAAGCAAGCAACAGCATGAAAAGAAAAACCATAGGCTGGGAGAAAATATTTGCTCATACATGCCTGATGTAAGACGAATACACAAAATGCATAAGAAACTCAAAGTGCTCAACACTCCCAGAAAACAAATTGGCTTTTAAACTGGACAAAGGATCCAAATACACATTTCTCAAAAGAAGACACACAAATGGCCAACAGAGATGTGAAAGTAACCAATCACTAATTATCAAGAGAAACACAAACTTCAACCTCAGGGATGTATCACTTGATACCTGATGGAATGTCTGTTTCCAAAGAGACATATAAATGCTCTTTCAGCCTTAAAAAGAAGGGGAGCTAGGGCTTGAGCGATAATTCAGCAGTTAAGAGCACATGCTGTTCTTTCAGAGGATACAAGCTCAATTCCCAGCACCCATGTCAAAGGGCTTACACCTGCAGTAACTCTAGATTCAGGGGATTGGATGCCCTGTTCTGACAACTTCAGACTCCCACACAAATATGCCAGGCATCCACACAGATACACAGACATAAACATAAATAAAAATTCTAAAACATAAGAGGATCCCATATTTGTGATACTGATGAATCTGAAAGGCATTGTGTGAAATAAAATGAGTCAGACTCAAAGTAACACATATTGTATTGATCTTACTGAAATATGAAACCTGGAGATGTTGAATAAATAGAGGTAAAGCATGAAAAGAAACCCAGAAGTCAAAAGTGCTTCCTCAACATCTGCCAAATATTGATTGGCTGCCTTATGTTAGGTTTGTTTAGAAAATGAACACATTATCTGAAAGTATAATTTCTGCTACTATAAGAACAAGTCTTAAAAAACATTTAAAATGTAGCTTTTTGGCAGTTTTACCCAATATAAGAGATGCAGTGTTCACACAAGCCAACCATTTCATCATAGGCTTGAGTACGTCATGGCCCCCTACAGTTCTTCTAGCATGGTTTTTCACATTAAACAATGCATATCTATGGCTTGGATAAGAGACAAGCATTATGATTAGCCATTTGGTTTTTGTTCTTAAATCCTGACATTGGCTTTGAACTTGTCAGTTTCTGTGGTTCTAAATGATAATGGCTCCGCTGGCTCATACGTTTCAATGCTTGGTCTGCAGTTGGTAGAATTCTTTGGAAAGTATTAGGGGGTCTTTTGGAGGAGGTGTGTCACGGTGTAATTTTTGAGGTTTCCAAAGCCCACACCATTCCAGGTATCTCTCTCTCTCTCTCTCTGCCTTGTAGTTATTGTGCACCATGTCTGCCTACCTGCTGCTATGAGCCCCACCATGATGGTCACGGCATTTGCTACCTTCTGGAACTGGGAGCCTCAGATTAAATAAATGCTGTCTTTGATAAACTGCCTTAGTCATGGTGCTTCGTCACAGCAATAGAACAGTAACTAACAAGTATGGAAGGAAGGAAGAGCAGATATACCCAAATGCAAGTGGACACTGCTCTCATTTCAAAGGGTGAACAGCTTACTTTTGAGCAAAGAATATGCCATATAAAAATTGTATGAAGGCCGGTAAGGCAAGACTTGCATCTTATCTACCCTTGTATATTCTCTGTAGCTTGAAACACTTTGCAAAATTGGTAGCAAAGACAATGCGTTTTTTGATGCATAAGTACAAAACAACAGGAGTCATTAATTTAACTTTGCATGTCATTAATAAAGGGATAACTTACCCAGCACATTTACAAATGCATTTGCTAGTAAATATCCATACTCGTTAGAGGCATTGCACTGATAAACCGCACTTGATCTTTCTTGAACATTTGAAAAAATAATGGTATCACCATCTATTTTTCTGCTGGGGTCATCAGGAGCAACTGTTTGGATGTAAAAAATAGGAAATATATGTTTCTTGATGCTTAAAAGATAAATATTAAATGTGTAAAATTTGAGGTATTTATTACATGAAAGGGAAGGAAATACAGCCTGATCTAAGTGTGTACATCAGTAAGTGAGAAAGAATCCAAGCAGAGTTCACAAATATGTGCAATGTTCATTCAGCCTCGAGTGGATGGATTCATCTTTAACAGTGAAGACTGCTTTGAGAGGCGCAGAAAAGCAAGCCCAAGTTGGGCGAGAACAGCAAAATCAGGAAAAACATTGCCATGTATATAAAGAATCCAGCTATTTAAAAGAAGGCAAGTTAATTATCCAAAGGAGGGAACAACAGCTTATCAACAAATGCAGAAACATGCTGTCTTGTGCAAACCTGCCCCGTTTGAGGACCTACTCTCAAAATAAATACATGAGTAAATGGAGGTATGCATAGAGAACACGCTACTCAAGAACGTGAGGATATCCATTTTCCTGTTGTGCACTCATCCGGGACTGATGGAGAAATCAGTTGTATAAAATTTCTCTCAAAGACCTTTTTCAGCTAAATCCGTCAAGTACTTAAAAGTAGTTAAGACCAGGATTGATTCATGCTGAAGTTGGATGAAACTGGCTGGGATTTAACACAGTATGTGAGGATTTTGTCCAAAGCAAGGCAAGCAATGGGCAAGCATTGTGCTGTGACACAGGAATTTCTTTTTCTGACTCTTAAGCCCTAGACCATGTCCCCACATTAGTTTAAGAGTGCACTGTTTTAGCATGCTGATGAAACTCAAAGTCAATAACAGTATGCTCCCTCTGAAACTGCACACAGCAGCCATAGGAGGACTTTGCTTCCATTCTAGACACAGTTCTGTTTCTATGGTGACCAGAGAAAGTTTAGTATCACTTTGAAATAAAAGTATGTGACTCACCTCTGGCTTGTTAACTCACTTTAATAAAAATAAATCCAGCTACAGTTACTCTCGTTTTTTGCATGCCTAAGCATTGTGCTAATTCATTCTGTAATTGTTTTTTACTGTTACAATTTTTACCACAGATCTAGTATTTTGAAATAATACAAAATTCACTAATTCTTGGTTCTTCAGGTCTGAAGCCCGATGGAGATCTTACTGAGATTAAGGCATGGTCCCAGGAAAGCCTTTCTCCTTCTTTGAGTTGCAGAGGAATCCATGTTGTTGCTCCTTCTATGTTCAGAAGGATTCCTAATTCCTTAGCCCATATTTTCTGTTTTTCCTAGCACCATCAAAGCCATCAGCATCATTTTTTTCAGTTCATTCTTCCATGATCGTGTCTCTGCCTGACCACAGCCAAGAGAGGCATAACACCTTTGAGGGTTTGAGTGATGAAACTGGACCCTAAGGTCCAAATCAGAAAGCTCCTAACTGCATGTACAAAGCGCCCCCTTTGCTCTGTAAGGTGACACATTCACAGGTTCTTAGGATTGGAATGCAGACATCTTTGTGAGCCCTTATTTTAACTATTGCACATTCTCACTACTATTATACCTATAGCCTAACAGTTTTTATATGGTCTAGCTGAGAATAATCTAACAATGTATCATAAGTTGAACTACTGCACAAGTCCTTACCTTCCAGTAATTTTTAAATTTTAAACTTGTGAGCTAGCTCTCAGGAAGTAATTAATGCCCTTATTGCTGAGGAAGCATAATAGGTGTCTTACAAAATAAGTGTCCAAAAGTCTGGCAACAATCAATGGCTAAGGTGTAGAATCCTCTTAGACACATATTTGTTCTGCTAGTGATAGGATATGTCAAGATTCTTATAATTGACTCCTTAACTCACATCTGTAGTTCTGATTAAAACTTTTCAAAGTGCCTTAAGGAAAGCATCCTTCTAAACAGATTACAAATAGCAGTCTTAATTCCTTCAATGGGGTGCAGATTGTATCAGTAAATAACAGCAGAGGACATGTGTTATATTGTCCCAGGAAGCGACCTGCAGGTATAGCAGACAGATATGGATCTGAGAGTGTGGTACACATCAGGGAAGCCCTTGTTCCTTATCCTGGATCCCAAACAAGTCATGGTGGAACACAGAACAGCACTCCTGCCTGGCCTCTCTTCCTCTGTGGATTTTCCTAAGCAGATGGCCCAAGTCCTTGGACATTCAGTGTTAGGACTGTCCATGGAGCATTTGGTGCCCACCATGTATCCACTGACTGCACCTCTGAGGGTGTGCCCAGCAATGAAGAACAGTAATGAGTATGACTCGCTGGGAGAGCACAGTGCAGGAACCCTTAGCACGGGTAACACACCATAGGATGAAACCTCCTCCCATCTCTGAACATCTGAAATCTTAAAATCTCACCATCATGTCCGTCCCAGTTATAACAAAATAGAGTTCAATTTTTCTGAGATGAAAACCATCTGGAGCACTGTTGCACAAGAATGTGGATGCATTCAACATCATTCGACTGTGCGTTCACAGGTTAAATTAGCAATAGTAAACCCGTGGCCTTTAATATACTATTGCGAGAATTCAACACTGAACTGTATTCTTAACCCTAAGATAGGGAATTTTATGCTGTGTGTGTACCACAATAATAACAATAAAACTTATACTACCATGAATATTGAGCTCAACTGATTAATCTAGAAGGACAGTTTTCCCAAGTGGAGATGCCTAAACCACAAACAAAACACCCTGCCACACAGGTTTCATGTCTCTTCAGTGTCAAAGACATCTGATTATGTCTACCTCATTTGTGCTAAATGGAGCAGGCTTCAGGTACTTATTTCTGGCATAACATTTAGGAATGAAACAAACTTGGACTTGAAGTTTAGGTGACGAATAAGCAGCTTTCTCTCTCTATGAAGGTCTGCATTATGTTTTCCTTGAGCAGTTGTTCAAGAGAAGCAAGTGACCCTAAAAACTGCACTGACATATGGTGGCTCAGTTGGCAGCTTGGAACAAAGCAGAGTCACCGCTGCAGAGCCATTGAAACCTTTGGGTGCTGTGTGCTGGCTACTGGATGGGAATAACTCACCAACTTGCAAACTCAAATCATCTAAAGGAGCAATAATTCATTTCTAGGAACAACCAACTTCATTTGCTGCAAATGAACACCAAAGAAAGAAATGTAAGAATATATATATATATATGTTTATATATATATATCTGCATCTATAACTTTAAGGCCCAAGGGTGAAGCCTTAAAGTTGGGTGACAGCCTTCAGAAAACTTTTACAACATATAACTCTCCTGAAAGGAATGGCAAAGGCTGTAAATGTTTCCAATATTTGGAATACGAGAATAATGGCAATAAATAGAAATGATGTCTTATAAGTACTGGGTGCTATCAATCTCTAAAATGTTTTTGTATCAATTTCATAATTTTATCTTTATAATAATTGCATATTTTTAGAACTTCATGAAGTAGATCGACCTATTTTCATATCTAAAGTATATGAATCCTAAACCCTAGACCATGTCCCCACATTAGTTTAAAAGTGCACTGTTTTAGCATGCTGATGAAAATCAAAGTCAATAACAGTACTTTAGATATATCTATATACTTTAGATATGAAAATCATAGATAGGAGCACTTAATAGTTTGTTTAAGTTATAATAAATTAAAGCTAATTTAACAGTTTAGAACTAATGTTCCAGACTTCTGGTTGTAATCAATTTTATAAATATTTTCTGGAGCATGAAAAATTGGACATGATGTAAAGTCAAGCTTTGGCAAACAGCTGAATTTCCCTTCTCCCAGCTATTCTGTGCTAACAGAGCCCTTTACCTCGGAGACAAGGAGGAAGGAGGAGGCTTTGACAGGATCTTGAGAATATTCTAAATTAAGTCTCCAGTCCCCTGGCTGTTTTCATGTGTGACTCGAGCACAGTTTCTAATTGTGTCAGGAGGAGATCCGCTCTTTCTCAACACACGTGTGTCAAGGAAGTTTTAAGTACCTGGCTAACCGAAATGAGACAGCACTTCAGAAGTCAGTGAGTCAGGCATCCAGGTGCTTTGGAGTTAATCCAGTGAATTTTATAAAACGGTAGGTTCCAGGTCTGAAGTCAAGCTCAAAAGCAATACCCCACTTCGCCAGCAGAGCCCAGTCTTGCCTCCACCTCACCCTGACATTCCTAGGTCTGCGGTTTGCCGCTTACAAGGCTGCTGGAGGGCTTGGATGAGGTGGGCTGTGTGTCTGGTCATGTAGCTTCCTAACGATGTCTTCACTGCTTGGCATAGGAGACAGACCTGAGGCACCTGCCCAGAGTGCTGCATGATTCCTACCGTATCTGTGTGGCCTCTTTGGTCTTTTCTAAGGGAACACACTTGGGATGGGAAAAAAATGAACTGACTTAGAATCTGATTTGGCAGATTTCATCCTAATTCTTTCTGCTTGGGACCCAATTGGATGATTTGGGGTTGAAGTAGAAGAGCCTAACTCGTCTCTCTGAGATAATTTCCCTCTCCACGCACCCTATCTTCTAGTTTTAACTGTAAAGGGGAGTTCATGTGAAGGCATATTCAAAGTGCATAACACAACAGTCAATAGAGTTCCAGCTTCCCCCAAGCGCTGTTATGCTGGCACTGTCCTCCAAAGGTTGGTAGCTCCCATACTTTCATATGTTGAACCCCAAGCCTCAAGGTGGTCCTAGGCCAAAGGCTCAGGCTTTTGACAGGTGACTAGGTCATAAGGGCTCTTTTCTCACAAATAGGGTCAGTGCTCCTTGGCAAAAGACTTGAGGGAGACTGTCCCTGCTGTCACTGTACATTCACAGAGGAAGAACCAGCACTAGAAGCTACTAGGTGCCTTAAACTCTGATTTTTCCAGCCCCCACTATAGGGAGCAATAATTTTCTATTGTTTATAAATTATCCAGCCATAGGTACTTGGTAATGGCAGCGGAGCAGAATAAGACAGCCAATTTGGAAGGATGATAAACCCATCAGGAGGAAAGATCAACCTCATCACTTAATTTCTCAATTTTCCCTGCTAGGACTCTGTCCTGACTGCCAAGCCCGGGAGTTTTTCTCTTCACCATCCCCTGGCTCTCTCACCAGCCCTTCCTCTCCCAGATTTCCTGCTGAGTATCTAGATGGATGTTCGCTTCTACTTGTCTGTTTTTGCTGAGTCTAAATCTCAGGAGTGCACTTAACCTTCTATAAATCGCAAAGAGCCTCTGAGCTGGAAGAAAGCAGAGCCTTTGGTGCAGAAATGCTGAGTATTCAATATGGCCATTTTTATTCTATATGCATTCCTAAGAAAACCATAGTTGTACTGTAAAGCTTCTTAGTTCTGGGCTTTCTTTCACTCTTTCAATTGTCACATAATCCCCTGGGAGTGACAGTAGCTCCTTGATATATGACCATGAGGTAAGATTTGTGGTGTTTCCTACACTGATCATAATTAAAATTGGATCATAAATATCAGTACCAATTACTGGCCTCATTAGCCTCAGTTTTCTTCCAAGAACATATTTCCTTTTCCAGAAAACACAAGCTGTTTCTGTCCAAGTATCTGATCACTACTGTGCTTTGTGACACAAGCGAACTCCCAACAAGTACTCCAGCAAACACATTCATGGCACAGGGTGCAATTACGCAGACTAAACCCATGACTGCTGTGCCTGGTAATGAGGAACACGTTGTCATTCTTCAAAGTGATGGTAAATCTACTGATCATCTTCATCTCGGGGTTGAGCCTTCCCGAGCCAGAAGAAGACTCAGTTATAGGGAAGTCAGCTCAAAGGACCTTTTCATTATGTGGAAGTAGAAGTGGTATGTGACTTTCAGCTGGGGACTACCAGGAGCCAGATTACATGAAAGTATCTTTACTAATAAAGAGTATCTTCGCATCTGATCATGATAATGACTAGGAAGTGAGCCTGAGGCTGAACTCTCTCTCTCTCTCTCTCTCTCTCTCTCTCTCTCTCTCTCTCTCTCTCTCTCTCTCTCTCTCTCTCTCTCTCTCTCCCTCTCCCTCTCCCTCTCCCTCTCCCTCCCTCCCTCCCTCCTTCTGTCCTCTTCTCTCTCCCCATCTAAGAGGAAGTCTGAATTTCAAAAGTGTGAAATGTTCAAAGGCCTCCCACTGTGGACAGGCCAGGAGTCATAGGAAAAAGGCTGCTCTCTGCCTGACTATGGCTTAGGAGTTCAGAATCAGTGAGACCAGAAATTCCAGTTCCATTTTTATCTTTGCTTTGCTATAATTCCCTTCTATACCCCAGTCCTCTAATCAAGTTTTATAAAATGAGCCTTGACTATGACTTGGAGGGTTCATGGAAAGCCCTTGGCTACACTTTAATGGTCCACTGTGGGCAACATAGCGGTATCTTGGAGAGACAGCTAATGGAAATGAGCTGGGAGTGGGCCTGCAGAAAGGGGGTCAATGGTTACAAAAACAACCTGTGCCTTAATGTCTTCCGCAAGGATGTCTGGAGAAGACCTCACAGTACTGGGGGGGGGGGGAGCAAAGCTGGAGAAGACTGCACATCCTGCATAAGATCAGGACCCCATCCTTCAGGTATCCATCCAGTGGCACGTTGACCCCTGAAAACTGGGAAACTTGGGTGGATACTTGGGCTTTCCCCAAGACTGGAAACTACGGACAGACGGTGTTCCTTTTGTTATCTACAGACTTAGGCCCAGTCTCCCTGTCAGCCTAGACTGACTCTGTCTCCAAAGAAAGTTGATCTGAGCTGTCAGTGGTGTTTACTTCTGACTCTGACATACTCACCATGATCTTGGTTAAAAATGAGAACTATTTGTAAATCCCCATTAACAGCATACAATTATTATATCATAAGCTCTTTTTTAAATTTATTTTAATCAACTCTTTAAAGTCCAAATAAGTATTTTAAAGGCAATAAAAACTTTAAAGGTGATTCAGTGCCCCTGTTAAATTTATTTTCAGCTTTCATCCTAAACCTGAATTATTTATTTCATCACCATGCACTTATTGTTGAGATACAGGTGTACTTTGAAAATAATCTCCACTTAGAGAAAACGAAGGAAACTTACTTTCTATTGGCACTCCATTTGTTAACCAGCCAATTCTGGGTTTGGGGTTGCCATTAGCTCTACAGATGAGGGTCCCATTCTCTCCTGGGGATAGCACGAGGTTTTGAGGTGCCACAATCCAGTATGGAGCCGCTTTATTGAGAGAAGAAAAACAGATTTAAAAAATCTGACTCAAAAAAGTATTGTAGTAAAAGAATACTGTGGACTGTTATAATAGATTTTAAGGGTTTTGTAAAAGATCCATTAGTCTTACCTTTTGGAATGAAAAACCATAAGAATTCCTTCAAATAATTCTTTAAACTTTACAAAGAGTAAATAAAATCACATGAATTTGAACTCTGAACTATGTAATTATAAAGTGGGAAAGCAATTTTAAAACTTTTTGAAAAGTTGCAAAGATAAAATACAGTGTCCTATACCCCTTTGCTTGGTCGAGTTCCTCTAATATCTACATTTTATATAGCTGGATTGTGGATATATATGAAATGGCAATTGGCCATTGCCCTGTCCTGGATACCAAACCACCTCCACTGGTAGAGTCTCTTTAGCCAAGGAGTTTCTTGGTCTCTTCTTTTCTTTCACAATTCTGACACATCTGAAGAAGGTTTCTTGGCTTGATAGGATGCCTTCAGTGAATCTGTCAGATGTTTTCTCATGATTAACTCCAGGTTTGGGGCTGTAAGAATATCATGGTGGTGATGGGTCCTTTTTGATCATACTACTTCAAGGGAAGACATGAGACCATAATGACTTATTATTAGTGATGTTAGACTTCAACACGTGATTGAGGCAGTATCTGCCAGGTATTCCCTCTACAAAGTTACTACTGTCCCATGTTCTGTGTTTTGTCTGTTGGCAGCAGGTCAATGGTACAGCCTACACTCAAGAGAGGACATAACCTCCATCACCTCCAGGAAGGAGTATTAAAGAATTACTGGATATACATTAAAACTGTCTTAGCCACTAGATTTTTGTTTGGTTTGGTTTTGACTTGATTTTTAAGCAACAAGGAACACTTTGAAGCTATGCAAATATCTTGCTTCTCCTTAAAATTGTTTTCACCCACTAATTTTAGAATTCCTCCCTGGATCTTGCCTGAAGCAGTTACCACTGTGGGACTATCGTGGTGGTTTTCTATTTTTACTATTCCTTCTCCATTTACTAATTGCAATTCTGTGAGGATGATTTGAAAGGGTAGCTTTTTAATCTCGCCTGGGTGCAATTACAATAGAAATGAGAAAAGATTCATGACACCATGAATGTGGATATAAATTTAAACTTCTCATTACTAAAGAGCACGATCAAAGACATATTGCACTGAAGCTTCAGAGCCTTCATAAAAGCAAGGGAGTGCACATGAGACAGAGTTATACCTTTAACTGTCACAGAGATGGTATGATGGACAGCTCCTAATGTGTTTTTCGCTATACACTGATAATTTCCGGAGTCTGCTTCTGAAACCTGGGTGATCTGCAAGGTTTTCTTGAAGTTCCGATAAAACGTCCTGTTGACAGGAAGTGTTCCATCTTCTTTGATCCAGTAAATGATTGGAGTAGGTCTGAGAGGATAAATGAGTAATGATGTTACAAAGGTGAGTTCACCTGTGACTGTCTTGGAAACTCAATTCTGATGCACATTTGTAATCAATTGTTTGCATAAAGATAATGAAAAACATACAGACCTTTTCAATAGCATCACATTTTTATAAGTAATCCTCAAAACTCTACTTGGAACAACAATTCCCATTTTCAAATAATTAGAACTATATTTTTGGCATACCATAAGGTTTGACTTCAGTGATGCTGCACTATAAGCATGTATTGCTTTACTAAAGGGATAATCTTTTCTTCAAAGTTCTGGTCAATGAGGATGCTCTAGAGACTTTTATTATGTCAATCAGGAGAATTACTATTAAGTTAATCATATTGTATTACAATTCCCCATCAGCTAGTGTTAAGGATATATAGTGAAAGACTCATGCACATATCAGTGCCTCTGGATTTGTATATACATTTACCAATCAAACTGATGAAACTTCCTATTTTATGACACACTGATGATATGAATTTAGAACACCATTGTGCTAACTGACAATAGTAGAACAGATTAATGCTGTACTACCTCTCACTCAATTTTATCCTTTTATAAATCGGAAAATCCAAACAAATGGCTTGATGATGAAAAACCAAAACACTGCTTGGAGTTGGATCTTTCTCAAAATCTCAGATCTTAGCCAAAATTCTTCTCTGACCTTGGTTCACTGACTTCCTTGAGTCTTAGCACCTCTGGTTGTCTAGTTGGCTGGTATAATGTCTTTAGATAGTTTCCATGAGGTAAAATTTTAAGAATTGTTCACACAAACATTGTGTGTGTGTGTGTGTGTGTGTGTGTGTGTGTGTGTGTACTAAGCCATGTGTGGGAGACAATAAAGAAGAAAGGCTGACAGAGATCATCAAGTCATCATTATATTTGTCATCAGAGATGCCAAAGACATGTTTGTAATGACAGTTTGTAACTGGCTTTGGTTTGTTTGGTTGAACAAAGTAACAACACATAAACTTGAAGAACTGGTATCTAAAATTAAATTAAAACCTGTTGTGAACATGTAGAGTTGCAGAAGAAGTGAGATCAGTTTGGAAGCTCAAGTCCCAAGCAGAATCTGACAGCACATGTTTCCTTACAGTTAAACTCGTGTTTCAGATGAGGCGGGAGGGGTGGGGCTAGGCACTCAGTGTTTCCGGTTATGCTGAGTAAAGAATCAGTTGTTATGGAAGGCCCCTATTCTACTGAAAAATCTCTAAGATTTAAGAACGTTTTAATATAGACTTAACAGTCCCTGATTTGCAAGCAGCAAAGTACCTATCAGGGTTTCACAAGATATCAATGTTTTAAAAGTTTGTTCAGTTTTAATAGTTTTTATATTTCCAAATTACAACCATATTTTACAAAAAGAATTCAGTGTTCCTAATCTGAAAACATGAGATATGCTAAGATATGAAACTTGCTAAATGTCATGTTGGTGCTCCAATGAAAGCAAAATGGAAGTTGGAAAAATTCTGTTGGAAAGACTGATTTTTTAAATTAAATTTATTAATTTTACATCTTGGCTGCAGTTTCCCCTCCCTCCTCTTTTCCTTCCCCCCACATCCCCTCCCCCACCCAAATCTATTCCTTTGTTTCTGTTCAGAAAGGGGTAGTCTTCCTATGGGTATCAAAAAACATGGGAAAGATCGACAATTTTTTTTGTCATATCTTTAGGAATTTTGTTAGTTTTTAAGCTGAAGAACTGAAATATTGAGTGTGATTTCCTAACTTGGCCAGCAGAGGCCTCCATGTGCATCCTGAAGCAATTATTCCTGGATTAAGGAAAGATTATACGATCATTGGATTGCCAGGTCCGAGACAATACAAATCATAAAGCATGAAGGCAGCCAGTATGCTCCTGGGGTCCCACTCACAGCTGCAGTGGCTGTGTTTATGTAATGGCACTCGCTCTGGGAGGACAATCTAGAACCTGCCTGCCACATGGACCTAATGTCACAGTTGCTCTTATATCTGTTGAAGGACTCCCTGAAATGCCTGTCAGAGGCACATGGACGTTACAGTCTGCTCTCAGGAAGGAACAGAAGGGACAATGTCACAGTTCTAAGGCCTCAGCATGCCCCGTGTGCTTTTCATGGCAGACAACAGGAGAGGGTGACACTACTAAAAATCCGTTGCCACCATGTCAAGGGCTTGAGAGTAATGACCCTCGGTTAATTCACCTTCAGAAGCCGCCCCCTGCCCTAGCTCTAGGCAAATGGCTGAGGGCAAGTAGCTGATATTTTTTAAGCTACCAAGTACTATGGTTGTTTGTTAGAAAGCAGCAAAATTCTACCCCCTTATTAAAGCACAGTGATCATAAGGTGATTACAGATATAGATAATGTAATAACTATTACAACAAAATACTTTAGCAATAACACGGAAGTCAAAGTTTTCTCAGGAAATGTTTGCTAAAGTTTTCTAGATTTTGGTCAAATTGGAAGCATGAGATAATAGTTCTTCCTGGGATATTGCTTCCTGTCAGTCTTTTATATTTTGGTAAGACGTAAGGATCAGGACCGAGCGTGTTAATGGTTAACTCACAGGCCTTCTGCAATGCACTCTAGTGAAAGCACATTTCCTCTCAGTTCCTCTTTGAGGCTTTCGTTGCCCTCTGGAGTTAGAAATGTCGGTGGTCTCTCTTTACTAGGTTTAGCTGCAAACAAGAAATGCAATAGACATTAAGATTATGAAGATGTGTTTCTAGGAGCACAGCCATTGTCAAAAGCTGCCTGAAAATCTAATCTCACTTCAAATCCATGCTTATATTGGGATTTGTTCAGCTATGCACACATACTCTTTTCTTACACTTATTCAGCGTGCAGGAAAGGAAACAATTTTGGTTGCCTGAGCAAACCAGTGAAAGGACTCCTTTTGGACGTGTCTTTACTTTGGGGTAGGTCTTTACCAATTTTCTGTGGGCTGGTAAATTTTCAAAATGTCAACAAAGAAAAATCAGCTCATCAAAGCACGCATCCCTAAGGTTTGGTGCTCAGGTCGAAGCAAAACGTGTGTCTTTGGAAAGATGTTAGATTTCTTTCTCAGCAGCAAATCATTATGGACAAAGTATTTTGATTCATTCTCTGTAGAGCATTACGGGCAATGCCATTGATTCATGTCTCAAGAATGTCACACTACAAGATTTGTGAGAAAATAAGCAAAACTAGACAGTCATTGGCAGAGTTCTGAATGAAGATTAAAAGTAGGGGGGCTGGAGGAGTGGTTGCATGGCAGAGTATTTGTTTGGTGGGTAAGACCCTGGGTTTGGTTCCTAGCTTTGCAAAAAAAGAATATTAGCAGAGCTACATGCATTGACATCAGTTTCTTGATGACAAAATAAAGAGGGTCGCAGTCAGAGAGCTTAGAAGTATTTACAAGGAAGACCTCCTGTCTTATGGACTCTTAAATATGTGGTCGCATTTACTGAAGTCTTCAGAAAACTTTCAAGTGGAAATGTGAGAAAACTCTATGGAATTCCTTTGTTTCAATCACAGACATCTACTTGATGCTTCTAAAGCCAAATGAAGAGGCAGCATGTAAATTTCTCATTTCTCAGAAGAAAAAACAACTGAGTACCAAAAAGACATTGCTGAAGAAAAATTGTTTGCTTGAGGATCACCTTGCGAATGCTCTTGAGACACGTATTCGGGGACTATATTAAATAAATAAAGTTGAGGGCTATATCCTGCCATATTCTCTAATGTTCATATTGCAAAGGTAAAAAAATGAAGGCAGCAGCAACCCTATCTATGGTAATTAAGAAGCCCGTATATCCAGACTCACTTATTTTTAGTGATAGATTTTATGCTTGACAAGCATGTTTTCCTTAAGGAAATAACATTCTTTCCAATTTAAAACAATGAAGCTGAAAGATCTATTTTTAGAAGTTCAATCCCACAGAAGACAAGGAGTGGGTTTCTAACAAAGCTAAGAACAACACGATTGCTAATGCTACTGAATGACGTTAGACAATTACTATGAAATATACTCTATGTTAGTTACTGAAGGCGTTGATGAGTCAGTCAGTATTCTAGGGGTTAATATGACCAGTCAGTCCATGTGTAGGTCATGCAAAAAGTCTTTAGACAGCACAAAATATGGAAAATACAATTCTGAACACATATGAAAGATTTTTTCCTAATGCATATGAAATGGTTTACATGAAAAAATATAACAAGTTTAATTATGCATACATCATGGAAAATGTTTTAGTGACATGCTTGAAATTTTATAGCTAAGTTTTACAAGAAACACACATTGGAATGGCGATATTGAACATGTAATTAGAAATTTCATGAAGAAATAAAGTTAAATAGCCATGGGGGTGAAGTTAGTGAACTAAAGTCTACAATGAAGGAGAGAATATCAGTTACAAGCACTGTAACTCACCACCATAAAACTCAGTGTCACTCAAATTAGCAGCTATAGTGTCATTCAATTCATCCACTGAAATAAACAGAGTATCATGAAGAGGGCACACAGGTAGGGGAGAAGAGTCAAAAAACGACTGGGCAACCAAAGCAAATGCATACAGCTATGCTAAGAGCCATTCCTTTCAGGTAAACACAGTGCTTGACATCATACTGGCTAACTCATTAATTCACTCAGCCACCCCCCAACTACAATTTGAACTACAGGATAAATGCCAATAACAGGCATTGTGAGGCATAATACATACACCAATGCTCAGAACACCACAGAGTCGGGAGGTTGCCATAGAAACAGGAATGGCAATCAGTGAAAAATGTAAATCCGATATTTAGGGTATGCATGCTTTTTCCAGCACATAAGCTAATGCTTTAGAGATCCTTTGCAGGAATTTTTTCCCGATCATTGAACTAGTTTACCTCAGAGACAGAACTGTATTTAGTTGTTAATAATTTGATTCACGTATGTAAGTACCGTTGAAAGAGACCCAGAAGGCTGAGCTCTTACCTGAAATCACCTTCAAAGAAATAGGTTGTTTCTGTTGTATGGTTTGAGTGTGATTAAATCTGGCATAGCAGATATAGTCTTCACGGGTGTCTTCTGGGAGGACATTGGAGAAATAAAGGTCTCCATTCAGGCCTTGGGAAACGCGCTCACTCTGTGGAAGTCTTTGGAAGGCTGGAGAAAGACAGAGAGACACTCAGATCATTCTTTCATACAGTTACCACTCTCCACATCAGCAGGACAGCCATCAACTGACAGCTTTGAGCTTCACCTGAGAAAAATAAATACCTACTTCTCACAGCATTTTTAGTAAAAGAAAATAACCCTTTTGAGGCTTTTTTGATTGTTGTTGTTTTTTTTTCTTTTGCGGGGAGGCAGGTTGTTGAGGTTGGCTTTTAAGACACACAGACACTCCACTGAACCTGAAATAGAAATAGCACTAGAGCCATGAAGTGAAATATTTCATTAAGAAAGTAGAAATGGAAAAACATACTCTGTAAGCAGGTCTGCATATTTCCTGGTATCTAATTGCACACACCTTAGAAAACACATCAGAAAAGTTTGTAAGGAGATTAACATGAGTTGCATGCCATCATAAATTAAGCTCTGAGCAAGCAGACAAGCACAACAGTCCTCCAGCCCGGTGTGAGTCTACAGTCTAATTGATGAACCAAGGAGCAACCATCTGGTTAAACATAGCAGACAATGGCAATGATGCTATGATGTGTCACTGGGAACCAGGCCTGGCTTCCCTCACCTTGTGGACAGCTTAACTTGTGACACAGTCCGTCTTTTACTCATTAAATGTATGAATAATGGCTATCTCCTTGTTCTAAAATCTAAGCTCCAAGAAGGAGGACACATTTGGTTTAATGCTGAAGCTACCGACAAGTGAGCAGCCTTTGGTAAGGGATGATATTCAGCTCCTCTTTGGAAGGGCTGAATATCAGCCATCAGCACACTGACATTCCGGTTTCCAGAAAGATCATCCTCCAGCTAGACCAGGTGAGGAGCTAGGCTCAGGCACAGTGAGAGGATTTTCTACATGGCTGAGCGACCAGAAGAGACAGGAGCCACTGATCTGTGTATGACATTATATTTAACCATTAAAAGGCATCCTGGCTCAGTTCCCAGAGCCTCAACTATGGTTTCTTCTGCTCCTAGGTGAGAGAGACTTGGATACGTCACATATCCCTGCAACATCAGGTTAGGGGTTTATGTGCTGATGGGATGTCTTCATCCTGAGGCAAGGTTATGTGCCCTTACTGCAGCAGGTACCTGACCTAATATTTCACAAAATCCAAATTATTGATAAAACCCAGCAGTAACTTTGGCAGCTGGAGCCCTGTGAATTCTGTTATTCAAGTTTCTGTCAAGTTGGAGGCTTATAAAGTTACAGTCTTAAAACATTAATCCTCTTGGATAGGAATGGCTTTAAAATATTGAGGAAAAGAATGTACATTGAAAGCGCATGCCTGAAACCCAAGCTGTTTGGAAGGCTGAAGGGGAAGAAGTACAAGATGCGGCAAGTCTGTACTGCATAACAAGTTCAACATCAGCTGGGCTACACAGTGAGACCCTGTCTCAGAAAACATACGTTTACTTAACGAATCCAAGGCTCCAAAGATATGGACTTATTGCCTTTTGTTTCTCCTGACTCCCATGATGAATGGATGCTGCTAGCTCTAATGTAAAGAAGCAGGCATCAACAGGGGTTGATGACTTTGAGTCTCTCTGTATTACACTTGGAGGAAAGATATGCAGATAGGAATATTTTTATGATGCATAAACCAAGAGTGCTATGGAGATTCAGCCTTTCCTCATAATTCAAATGCAAGGTGGGTGGTTTGCTGCCATTTTGAAATGTAAGACATCATACATATTGCCAGTTGTGACATGCGGGAAGCATTAGCTATGTACTCTGATTATCTGGAGAGTTTCCATGTGACATATTTCTTTATTAAGCAAACAAGAAATCATTTCTGAATAAGAACGACTAATACATCTAATTTTGATAGTGACATTTGAAGAATGTTATTCTCAAAACCATAAATCACTCCTTCATATTAGATTTGTTGTGCATACCCTCAAAATCCATAACAGCTGCCACATAAATAAAGAGAGCATATATTTGTACATTTATTTGTTTATACATTTGTTTTCCACTTCTTCTGACACTTTCTTTGAGTGGTTCCATGAGTCAACAATGAAAATTAGGTGTTAGAGCCCAGTTTTCTCTTCAGTGAAGTTTGCAGCCTGTGATTGAATGCAGGGGGAGTCACGTCTCTGAGAATAGGGTATTTCGTGCAAATCTTTTGCGTGCATTCCCACCATTCCATCTATAGGCAGGTCTCTTGCAAAGTCGCAGTGCTATTCTTGCTGCCATATCTAACAGTCATGTCCCAGGCCTCATGTTATCTATTAGATTTGCTCAACAATCGATAGGATTGCATAATCTGTGTTCTCCACCTGGTGGGTGGAGCACAACTCTATCTCTGTATGGACTCTGTTGACTTCAGTCACTGCTGCTTCTGGCGTGCTTTTTTGTGTTCCTGCACGACTCTTGGTCTCAGTGCCCAGGCTCTGTTCTCTACCTCCAGGACCCACTCTCTGAACTGTCTCAGACAGCCTGTGGATGTTTTCCTATGGCTTTATGCACTAAGAATTCATACCATGCTGACTGCAGCACAGCTTTTTGTCTGCCTCACACCTCTGACCTTTGCTGAACATCTTGATACGAGGATGTCTGGGTCCTCTTACATCTTGAATTCTGGTTCCTTCGTTTCTAAACCAAGCTGTGTGCCACCTCTAAGATAGCATGATAACATAATGGCTATTTTGGGCATGGGGGTGGCTAGAACAATAAATATTTGACTATGTCAGAAGTAGACAAATTCGAAATTTTCTAGCAACTAGATCCGTTTCTCCCTGTTTTGGTTTCCCTACTAAGAAAACAGAGAGGATGGCAGGATATGCTTCAGATGGTTATGGGAAACTACTGGGAGAATCGGTGTGATATTATCAGTAAAGGACTGATACCCAGAAAAGGCTCAACAAATATTAGCTTTTGTTGGTGACTTAAAAAACCGAAGATGGGCCGGGCGGTGGTGGCGCACGCCTTTAATCCCAGCACTTGGGAGGCAGAGGCAGGTGGATCTCTGTGAGTTCGAGGCCGGGCTGGACCGACAGCCTCCAAAACAATACAGAGAAACCCTGTCTCGTAAAACCAAAAAAAAAAAAAAAAACCGAAGATGGGATATAATAAAAGTAACCTGATTTCTTTCCTCCACTGCTAGCCTTTGAGGTTTCAGGAAAGGATGCTCCTAACTTTCAGTCAGTTTCCTATCTCTGATTTTTCTCCTCACGTCCCATCTCTCCGTCTGTAGAGGCTCTACCCACATTACATCCAGAGTCTGACCCACTCTACTGCCACCTCCCAAATTCAAGCCACCAGTAACCATGATCCGGCTTACAGCAATGCCACCAGCAGCCATGGTCCGGCTTACAGCAATGCACACCTAAGTGGTCTCCACCCCACCCCTCTTTTTCAAGTGCTGAGGATTGAACCTAGGGCCTTATAGATTCTAGACAAGTGACCTGCCACTCAGCTACACGCTGAGCCACATCCTGGCTCGTCCCCACTTCTCTTTAGTCCTCCATGTTCTCCACACATGAGTGGAAATTATCCTTTTACGAATAGCTTTGTTTCAGGTAAAGAGCCCTTTCCATTGAGTCCCTGTGGTTCTCTGACACTGCTCTCAGCCTCGTTCCCCTTGGTTGCTTTTTCTGGTTTTGTTTTTATTTTTTGTTTTGTTTTGTTTTGTCACCCTAGGGATGCTTCTCCTTAGGGCTTGCATAGTGCTCCCTTTCCACACAGATATGCAGGCCGCTCGTCTGCCCTCTCACCCCAGTCCATTAGCATCGGGCTCATGTTTCTGCTTTATTTCCTTCCATAAAGACTATCGCTAACTGATACAGATTTTTAAAATGCATTTACCGTCTGCCTCCTTTTCCTTCTCAGCTTATTTCTGTTGTCTAGAAAGCAAACCCAGTCATCGCTGGGCTTGTATTTTCTATTGCTGTTGATCTACAGTGATGCATGGCACAGTTAATGAATAGAGCGGCATGGTACTTAGTTCATTAAGCAGCTGTTTTTCTGAGCATCTATGGACCATTTTATAAGCACGTTAGGATTCATAAGAGAAGGTGAATTGTTAAGACAACAAATAACTATGAGATGATTGAAGAAAACTCTTAGTATTAAGACTTACAATTATCCATCCAAAATATTATGGCTGGCGGTAATCCAACTGGAGGTCTACAGGGAAGTACCAATGACTGACCATTTCGAAGTGTTATTGGTTCGAGTCTTTCTTTGGTCCACAAGGGAGACCCTGTGAAGGAAAAAACAAAAACCTTCTGAGTTATATCCTCATGCAAAACTAAAAAGAAGACAACAATATATAGAAAGGCATCCAAAGTTTTTGGAAAATGGGAACCTAGAATTTATATACATTAAACAATGAGAAAACTACTTTTAAATAAGGCATTATATTTATTATTATTATATATGATATATTAATATGCAACAATTATAATTATACTATTGGTAGTGTGACTCAAGCCACTAATCCATTTACACTAATACACCAATAAGACATCTATTTTGACTCAAGCAAGTTCTCCACAGAGAATGTGAAAAACTTAAATGTCAGCATATTTGCTAAATAAATAACTATATACACATTTGTATTTCATACAGTATTACATATGTATACTCACTTATAAGATTTGTAATAGAATATATATCAAATATTAATGTCAAAAAGGTTGCAAAATGGCATTTCAGACTAAGCTGGCTTTATATACATATACACAAGGGAAGACAAATACAGGCTGGAAGTTATTTTCATGAATGGAAAGACTCATGATCAATTTAAACTTCTTTATGTATAATTTTAGACACGTAAGTTTGAATGTTTTCTAAGTAAGCACAACAAGAAGCAGTCTCTATTCTTCAAAGGTCGCATTTGGTTGAGAAGTCTCCCTTACTGGATGGGCGGACAACAATGTTGTTAGAGATGGCAGCCCCACGCTCGTTTCTTGCTGTGCACTGATAAATGCCCTCATAGGTCTCGGCTTTCCCATCGCTCATGATGTTGATGACGAGTGTTCCAGAGCCGGGCTTCATGGTGACCAGAGGGTCTTTGTCTATGTCAAAATGAGTTCCATTACGAGTCCAGGAAAAGCTGCCCAACACATCAAGGGTTAAACTTATCAATGGTCTAGAAAATATAGGATTATGTACCCCTTTAAAAAAACATTAGGTTTTAATAGGGTTCCAGAAACAGTTGTTGGATTTCAATACTTAGTAAAAGGCCCCTTGCTTAGAATACTGTGCCAAATCATGACTCAGAAAAAAAGTGCTGTTTTTACCCCTTACATTTTGAGGCATATACCTCAGCTAAAATCAGCTCAAATATAATACAGATTGCTTGCCATTTTTATTTTATTTATTTATTTATTTTTATTTTTTATTTATTTTGGTTTTTCAAGACAGGGTTTTTCTGTGGCTTTGGAGGCTGTAGACAAGGCTGGTCTCAAACTCACAGAAATCCGCCTGCCTCTGCCTCCAGAGTGCTGGGATTTAAGGGGTGGACCACCAATGGCCAGCTCACCATTTTTTTAAAGAAAATATGAAACAAGTCTTCAAGGCATAGTCTCTGAACATTTTCAATGCAAGCCCCATTGCTCATACACAGTTAAGCTGTCTATAAAAAGTGCTCTAGGCTGAAATGTGACAAGAAAGGCCCCTACGAGAATTATTATATTATCTTTGAGTGGGAAATGGATCAGATTTGTTTCAAGTTATCAAAGTACAAACCAGAGGATGGGAGCAGAGCTAAGACTTTGGGTGTTTTAAATACTAGTTATTAAAATTGGCAATTCTATATAAGGTGAACTTTTAGAACTTTTAATTCTAGAAATAATTATATAAATGTGAGAAGATATGCCAAATTGTCAACAAAGATTCATTTTCCTCAGCTTAGTTATATAAAAGATGCCGTCTTCTAAATATCACAGTGCTCATGTGATTAACTTCCTGACTAGGCACACCTTGGTGATGGTGAGACAATGGTGACATGCGTGTCAAACATTGCTGTGTTTTCCAACTTGGGTTTCTTGTCTTACTACGCATGCTTACCAAAGCTAGGAAGGGTGGTAGTGGTGGTGCTGGCTACAGGCATGTCATAGACAGAGGACAAAGACACAGGTAAACATCCCACGGTACACAGGATGCCTTTATTCTCACAGCAGAAAATCATCACTGCTAACTAGTGACAAAAAGTTCTGACATACTTGCATGGCCTTGACTAAGAATGAAGCTAAAGTGCACATTGAGGCATGTTTGAAAAATGGTTTTGGCAATATGGCAGAGCTACTGTTTTGGAATAAAGCTTTGATGGAAGTATTAACACTCATAGGTATCTAGAACCAGGTAGTATATTTCCTCAGTTTCTAGTTTAATAAAACTTATATAAATGGGCAAATAAAATATCTAAAACCTTCATCCTTTTATTATTTATAAATTCTTATGCCTAGTTACAATTTAACAGTCATGAGATTTAATAGGTACAGTATTTTAAAATCTTGTTTTTTAACAATCAAGCTGTATAGAATCTCTATACTACTGGATGAGTTGTTGTGATACTCTCTAGATGGCTTTGGATGATAGTCCAGCAAGTGACTCTCAGTATCTCATCTTTATCATGTTTTGTTTAGACCTGATTATGATGAGCTCATGCTGAGATCTACATAGAGAACACTGATAAGGGTAGCGAATGGTGTAAGACTATTACATGGCCAGTGCAGAAGTAAGAGAGTTTGTAGCAGCCATCCATTCAAATTATCCTTTGTCTTTTCAATCTATGAGAAAGTAAGCTCAGCTAAAGGGGTTGTCCCTTGTCATAAACCACTGGTATCAGAACCAAGATTAGCAGGTCTTCCTCTAGCTCCTCACAAATTATGAGCATTTTACAGAAAAGCATGAATAGGAAAATGCAAAATTCTGGGCTTTAGTAAACAAGCTTTAATTAATCTGAGAGACAAGACAATGGCCCTCTAACTGATACTTTAGAGATGCACAGGACCTAGAAGACACATTAAACACCTTTAAAGGGCTAAAACGAGCCAGGGGGCTGCTTAGATAAACAAGAGCATGCTGTCAGTCATCGTGAGAAATATCCAACTGAAAACACAATTGCTCCACACGATCTTCTGTGTTCTATTAAAATCCCAGACATTTCTATATGCATACAGATTGCCTGCTAGTTTAAATGCTTACCTTGGAGGGGGTTTTCCTTTAGCCTCACATTGGATTACAATATTCTCCCGAGGGTCAATAATGTAGTCCTTTGGTGACTGCTGTGTGATAGTTGGAGGTTGCACCACTTAATTGTAAAAGGGAGAATAATGTAAAGAAATAAAAGATGTACTATCACTAATAGCAATCACTTTTTCTATATTAAAATCACTTGCCTAAGACTAAATATGCCACAAATATTCTTAGTAACTTCTGTTGTAGCAGTAAATCCTCATTAGGTTTTCAACCAAAACTCACCTAAAGTTGGGAAGTCAGGACACAACTTGCCTTTGGCAATATCACACACACACATCTGCAAAGTCCATTTTCTCACACCAAAAGTCTGGGAAAATGATTACTAATGCAAATCTAATGTTCAAACATTGTTTTTCTGATGTAACAATGAGAAATTCATGGTTCTTTCGTTTCAAGTGGTATCTTCAATATAAGTTATGAGGTAGATTTGACTCTTCCTTATGATAGAATGCACAGCTCATGAGTATGCTAATTATGTAAATTAATATCCCAGGGAAAATACTTTTGACATGCTCATATCTAAAAAATTGTTAAGTTAGAGCATTGACAGGAGTTAGATGAATTAGAAATGCAGAGAAAACATTCTTAGTTGGGCTATAATTGGGATTGAAATTCTCCTTTTTAGGGGATAGTGTTTCTATTGTGCTTTTCAAATTATTGCCTAGTCCTTTACTGTGAAACTGGAACGGTTTACTGTTGTGACCCAGGGCAATTCAATCTGAAGAAAGCCAGTCTAGAGACTTGATCATTCTCCAAGTAGTTCTAAGAGCACTATAGGGTCTTTCCTCTCAGGAGATCAGGATTCTAGATACCATAGATTTTAACCTCTATTTGTTATTTAGAAAGACAAATGGCTTGACCAGGAAGGCATTAAGCAGAGACTAATTTTCACCTCATTTCTGTTTGGTCCTTGCTAAGCACAGCTTCAAGGGACTTTATTCAGACTGGTAGTTTGCCACATGATCAATGTGCCCTTGCTCTTCCAGGGACCATCAGAAGAGCGTTTCCATTTCCACAACTAGGGTTGAGGTAGAATGGTTACCTGTAGTAGGTAGAGGCCAAGGATGTCTCTATATATTTCACAATAGGTAGGGCAGACAAATACTTACCTGGCTCCCAATGTTAGGACCCATAAACCTGGCATGCACTACAAAATGAGTGGCATCTTTGGGACAATGCAATGAAGCAGTCCAGCTCCAGCCCGCTTTCCCCAGCATCAGGCACTTTGGACCTCCCTGCCTTTATGTTGTTAACTTCCAAAGCTAGTCAGCAGTTCTGTCTTGATGGTTAGTGGCTCTCTGTTTTTCATTAGTTGGATACTTGAGGTTCAACTCCTATAGGCCCTCAGAAGGGAAGGGAATTTTACAAGTGGACTTGGACTCCAACTGTAACTGGGAAGATGACTAACACACTTTGTGTAATATTTTTAGTAGATGCTACACGGCCACTGTTCAGTTGTTCTTCAGGATTCTGATTTGGACCAGCTTCATTTTGGAGTGATTAGCCTCAGATTCTGGGAGTACAGCCTTTAGGATAATAACAAAAATCTCAAGGTGAACAAAATGGTGAACAAAGACATTCATTGAAGGGATTCTAGTCATTCAGTCCAGGTCTTCTTGGGGAGAATGGAATGGGGTAAGAGTGCCAGACATGCAAATTTGCTTTCAAATGCAGGGCTTTCCCTCCTGTGCTTGCAGCTGCCCCAGGAGTTCGCCATCTGGAGGTATCTCTTTGAACAGTGCTTAGGTCATATGGCAATTAACAAATGCTTTGTAGTAATAAGTGACTTACCAAGATTCCTCTGTTTAATTCGTCATCAAAGGAAAATGTCTGAAGATGGACCATCTTTTCACTGGATGATAAATGCTATCCAGCTGTTAGGAAATTTCCATATAGGAAGCCTCCCAGGGACAATGTAACTGAAATAATTCTGCCTTCTGTATATTTCAATACAATCTGCTAATGTGCAGAGCTTCTCTCTTATAACACCTACTTATAACACTGTTCTACCCAGTTCTGAAGCCTATAGCCATGGAAGAGGGACTTGAGTGAGCTTCTGCATACATCCAACTTCCAAAACTCTGCAAAAGACGTGTGTCTGTTCCAGTTGATGACATTTGAAAAAAAAATCATGTTCCCCACAAAGTTTTGAATTTTCTCATTGAGTTACATCAGATGTGAATACAGTTTGTATATTAGTAGAATAGCAGGTTGGTGAAAGTAATATCAGAGTCTCCATTATTCATGCAGGTTATATATTCCATTTGTACTTTAGCACTCATGTGAGGTGTTCGGGTATAGTAAGCAACATGCTTAAAAAGACACTAATCACAAAGCATGGTGTTTGCTTGATTCACACTATTAGTTCAAGAGACAAGGACACAGTCACATCGTCACACTGCCTAGTAATTTGCAGAAATACACTTACAGTCATCAAGAAGCTTTGCTTTTCCCCCATCAGAATCAGCAGGTGAGTGGGCAAAGAAGATTAAAGAAAATCAGATGTTAGTAATGACAATGTTAGCACCCTAAAGGGAAAAAAAGGGCATCTTGTCTACTTGGATTGACCTAGAATAAAAACCACACTGTAAAAGTTGAAGTTGTGACTTTGCAAGAGAAAGAAAGTGGCACTCAGGTCTGTCTGCCCCTGCAGCAGCTTCTCACAGCACCCGGAAGAACAAAGGCTATGCTGTAGGAAAAAATAGTGGGGGCTTTTCCAGGACCAGGGATATCTAACTCCATCCTATACACATTGTGCTGCACGGATAATTATGGTCAATTTTAAAAAATAGGTGAAATCTACAATTAATTTGAGTTGTCACTTTCTGTCTAGTGTCTGGTCTTATAATCCCAGACACCACAATGCACGCGATAATGATACCTAACAATGGGATATTGCTACAACTCTGCATCCAAGTCAAATCCAACACTGACTTCAGATTTGTGCATTTCTATGGTTGCTCTCCAAGATGGTTTTATGCCATTAGCATATTTCTGCTTCGGAATTCTCAGTTGCCCAGATTGAGTTTATAGAATCATTATGTGTGCTGAAGAAAGGGTGGGTGAAATTGGGAAGTGTTTACATGCATTTCCAATCATTCTGCCTTGCTGCCTGTCACTACCACTTGCAAAGGTTAATGCAGGAGAGCCTAGGCGACTGGTGACTTTATTTTCATCATGGTTGTGCCTCTTCTCCATTAGCTGCCATAATTGAGTTAGCCCTAGGTGCCTGTTTCCCCTGATAGTTAGATTGAGCAGTCAGATTAAGGAGGAATATATTTAACACAAGAGAGAACAAAGGCATTTCCCTCGCTGCTTTCTCTCCTTCCCAGTGCATCTATTAGAGCAAATGCATAGTTAAATAATCCTGCTCCAATAAACTCAGGCGAATGCATATTTCAATTAAATATATATCTACATATTTTAAATTAAGGTCATTGGATGAGTAACTAAACAGAAATGCTGCATTTTGTTGGGCTTTAGTGTAGAGATGCATGGCCCAGGCAGTGTGCAGGAAACACATCTCGTCTTTGCACAGGCAGTTGCAACTTCTGTGATGGAAAAGGACACCCCAGCAATTGCATAGCTCCAGGACACAGCTATCTTTCTTGCACCTTAGAAACCTTGGCAAACAGATGTTCTACTCAGGAAGCTAATGGCTTTAAAGAGGTCATGTAGATTGGGGATAAAGGGTAAATCAATTGTGAAGTACAGCAATTGTTCAGATTTGGAATTCTGCTTCACGCTGCAGACACATAAGCAGCTGGAACCCAGTGTTGTCTTTATTGTCTACAACCAAACCACTCGGGCCAGGCAGACTGTGGCGTACATTTTACTTTGGGGAAAATAAGGGAGAAAAATGCTGTAGGCCCTGCTTGCTGCCTCCTTTGAGTGATTTTCCAAGTCTTGCTTTCTTTTAACAGTTTTACACCTTGATCTTTGATCAGATAGTTTAAGCCGAAAAAAAACCTTTCAAAAGCCTTGTACATGACATACTAGCTGTTGTAATGCAGGCACACCTGGCTCTGTCCCTTGAACTTGGCACAGTGCCTCTGCACACCCTGGCTCTGTACAAAGGCGCGAAGGTCTCTTTAGGAGAACTCTTCCACTTTCTTTCTCTTCTTCCGTCATCTCTAGGAGGAGACATGTCTTCTCTCTCTCTCTCTCTCTCTCTCTCTCTCTCTCTCTCTCTCTCTCTCTCTCTCGTGTGTGTGTGTGTGTGTGTGTGTCTTTGTCTTTATCTCTTCTCTCTTTCCCTTATTTTCTTACCTCCCCCCCAATAAACCTTCAATATAAGTCACATCTACAGGTCTCCGTTTCCCATCCACCCCTAGCCCCCAACCGGTCCCTCACCTGCTGCTGACCCAGACTTCTGCCTTGGGACCAGGCAAGGTTCCCATGCTCCATATTCACTGCTCTGCTGTTTTATAACACTAGTCTTATAATTAGATTTACACTGAAGATGCAAACAAGAAAGTGAAATGAGGCTATCTGTCCGAATCAGAAGAAACAACAACAAAGGAAGTATGGGTGATTTGGGGATACAACGGGTCAGAAGTTGGCGAGACCATCCTTAGGTTGTTTTTTAGAGATGCCTCAGCAATGGAGGAAGAAAGTGACACAATGAGGACCGTAACGAGGGGTCTGCATCATCCTTGTAAGGTGGTTCACGTGTGGACTGCCCACAGGGAGGATCAGGGCAGTGGCACCAGCCCCTTCTCAGACCACTCCTCTCACTGTATACAAAAGACACCTGAGACAAGGAAAGATAATGAAAAAGAGAGGACAGCATGGCCAGCCATTTCCATGGCCTTTTCTACGGTGTCTTCATAAACACCAGGTGCTGAAGGTAAAAGCCAAATTCGTTTTGATTAGCTTTTCAGTGTCACACAGACACTTTCCTCATCAACACAGTTCAGGGTAATGGTAAACACTGGGAGGGTTTGCCTCCAGGCCTAAGAGATTTAATACTCACGATCAAGAGGTACATCCAGGGCACTAACGATCTGACACAGGAAGAGAATCAGGGGCACTCTGCCTGCAGAGAAGGGCTTCTTTTTCGGCATTATTTGAAGCTGCTCCAACAGCTCTACTGCTGCTGAGACCCACACACGGAATTTCCTTTTCTTCTTTCACAGATGATTTTCTTGCAATGTTCAAACAGCTTTTCATGCAGGGAACTGAAAAGGGGGGGATAAGAATGATAATTTTAATATATCAAAAGTCAGAAATAAAGAGTGAAAATATGCAACTCAAAAAAATCAGCTCTCTGTTATATGTGAATTCTAAAAGGGAATTAGGTTTTAAATACTTAACTCGGAGGCTGGAAAAAATCATTTATTCATAAATCTAATATCAGTTCAGAAATATGTGTGGCTATGTCAAGCAAAATCCTCACCCTTCCCCATTATTATGATTTTTCCATTTTTAAATATTTGTGCTTAAGCTCTCTGAAGGCAACCATGTCTATCTTTTTTTATTATTTTAATTTTAAATAGCTTGCTTCAAGGCCATCCCTACCTACATAGTGAATCCAAGTTCATCTTGGATTTACTTTGTCTCAAAACAAACAAATGAAACCATAAACAAACAGGCTAAGTGGGCTGTGTTCCCCTCATCTCACTGTCCTGTCACCTGTATGGAAAAGCACCACACTGAAAACCTGGGCCCAGCCATAGAAAAAGCTGTCTGTCCACCTAGAAAGATGTGGAATGTGTCTTCTCAGGAAGAAAAGGCACCTGTGAGCAATGGATCTTGGGTAGTCAAAAGGGAACAATACTATAACAACCTAAGGTAGCTTCTGCAGGCTTCATTAGTGAATTATATGTGCAGCTTTTACTATTTAAGTAGTCATGTATTTTTATTAGATCCATCTTTTCTACTAGACTGTGTTTCTGTAGGATAGAGACTTAATCTCTACCACTCCCCAACTGCATCCCAGGAGCCTGCTTGGAGCATGGAAGGAAGCAAATAAATGTTTGTAGTAACAACATGAAGGGATGAAAGCAAAAAGGACCAAAAGGAGCCCTGAGATTACTCAATTGGTTGTATTCAAGTAGATTGGCCATGGTATAACCTGAGCTATGTTTTTCTTATGATGTGCAGTTTGCAGGCCAGAATCTAATCATCATAGATAAATCAGTTGTAATATCAGCTCCCCACAGAGGGTAAAGCACAGAGATATGAAAAAAATGAAACAATATGGATAAAGTGTGTTTGACCAGCAACCAAATTCTGATTTAAATTTAGTTTAGATGGACTTCTTACAGAAAAGATACAAAGAAACTAGCTAACCTTAGGCATTCTGCTTACATAAATACATTTTGTGACTCCATCATTCATACTATAAAAAAGTTTGTCTTTTATTCCATTGTAAACATTTGCCTCTAGGTAGCATTAAGAAGCAGGAAATGGAGCTTGTTCAAGAATTTCTGACCCAGATTCAAAGCAATCCACCTTTCTGCGTGCCCACAGCATATCACCACCACACAATCACATGTTTTAGACTGCCTCAGCTCTGTCTGTTTTAGTGCTAACTCTAATTCAACAAAAGTTTCAAGGAAAATAAAAAGAAAGGGCACAAAGGACATTAAAGCAAGTAGATCTTACACACAGCATATGCTGAGGTAAAACATCAAAGTTAAACTCTAGAACACACTACTTGCCTGCCTGATTTATGAAGCATGTAAATTAAATGTATTAGATCTAAGCACTCAGCCCTATAAATAGATACTAGAAAACCCAAATACTTCCCCAAATCTGAATTATATGTACTGTAATGCCTGTAGGATCTTAAGTAGCTATACATAGTTTCTAAGTTCCTCACTTGTTATGTATTTTGCCTGATGTCGTAAATGTTCATTCTCCTCTGAAAGAGAAAACATTCATTTAAGATAAAACATCACTAAACTACCTTTATCCTTTCAAAGTTCACATGAAATTAATAAATTACATATAAAATTGCAGTGCACATGATAAAGAAAAACACAAGCTTTACAAAAGCTGAAAGAATACTTACTGAAAGAATCACAAGCAATAAAATCTTCACGCTGTTGGGAGATTAGGAAATATAATATGGAAAAATACAGTCTCTCCTCAGAGGTTGGAAGTTCACTGCACCATTAGCCACAAGATCATCTCCAGTGCATATTCTTTTAGGGCAGGACAAAGCAATGGTTCAGCCCATCGCTGACTCCTACCCAAGAAAAATCACCCACTCCGCCTTCAAAGGTGGCATGCCAAGCACTCAAGGACAGCGTTAAGTCTCCAGCACTCAATCAAACTAAAATCAAATACAGCAAAGAAAACTGAGTTTTTGCTCAAGGAAAAGAATGCTGCACAAAGAAAAACTCCTGCTTTGCACCCTTAGTATTCCTGTCAACACCCCACCAGGAACTACCTGCCCCATATGTCACCCTGGGAGGTGACAGCTATTCAACAGTAAGAATCACAGGGCAAAACTAAATTCTTCGTGCAATTAGATCAAAAGGAATAAAGTGTCAATGTGAAATAAGGAGTGTGCCAGCTTGAATTTTTCAAAAAGTGTTTATTATTAAACAATGTAAAATATTGAAAAAGATTATTGTCAACTCCGATAAGTTACCTAGATAGTTAAAATCATCTGTGCCGTCACAATGATCAACAAAAAGATAAGCAGTGAAGTCCTTTAGTATATATTTCTGTAATTCCATTAAAAGCATATTTTCATATTATGTATAGAATCTGTGGACTGGAAAACGAAACAACAAAAGCATCTTCAGTATTTCTTTCTCCACTCTAGAAGAAATGTAATTCAAGGTTCATTTGTTTTTTGCCTCAAATTCATATTAAATCATAGAGTATGATTTACTATATAGTTTAAAAGAATAATCTAAAGTTTTGACCAAAAAGAAAATTCATGCAACCCCAAGAAAAGTAGCTGTCCTGTGACTTACGTAAGGAGTCTCTGTTTTTAGAAGGAAAATAAAAGCTTGTTTTTCTCTCAAATGAGAACTGCAGCTATTTTAAGTTTTAAAAGTCAGCTCTCCAGCAGGACAGGAAGCCTGAGCATCATTTGCCATTTTCTTGTGTGCTGTTTGTGCTTTTCTGTATCCAGCATGCGGGCGGAGTCAGTGCTGACTGCACAAGGCTCATCTGCACTCTCCAAGCCAGCGAACGAAATAGTGACATACCCGGACTCCAGTGACACGCTAATCACTGCCGCTGATAGCATGTCACTAGCTGGTCTTTCTTATTGTGCTACCGCTGGATGTGCCATTATCCTGACTGTTTTCCCAGTGGCCAACCCAAAGGTGATCGCTCTTCATGTTGTAAATATTTTTACTGTAAGGCATAAGCACATGAAGGCCACCCCTAGTTATTCCTGTGCTTTTCGGTCACAGACTTGTTATCTGAGGCCACGGAAAGAAGATGACATAAATCCTCCGCAAAGCCACAGTTATGTCAGTACAGCCACAGATCATGCCAAGCTAAAGAAAAGCCTACCGGAGGTATGGACGGCAGAGACTTTAATGATCTCTACAAACGGCAAAGCAAGCTGTGTGAGTCTTTAAAGGGCATGTCTCTCATTTTCCCTCAGTCAAGGGAATCTTACAGTAGGATTTCTATAAAGGATCAAAGTGAAATTACTAAGATGAATCAGTATCTCAGGAAAGATAAATAATAACAAGTGTCTTAGTTAGGATCTCTATTGCGGTGACAAAACACCATGACCGAAAGTCAAGTTGAGGAGGAAAGGGTTTATTTGGCTTATACTTCCACAGCACGGTTCATCATTGAAAGACGTCAGGACAGGAACTCAAACAGAGAAGGACCCAGGAGGCAGGAGCTGATGCTGAGACCATGGAGGGGTGCTACATACTAGCTTGCTTCCCATGGCTGGCTCAGCATGCTTTCTTATAGAATCCAGGACCACCAGCCCAGGGATGACACCACCCATAATGAGCTCTCCTTCATCAATAACTAACTAAGGAAAGATCTTACAGCTGGGTCTTATGGAGGCACTTTCTCAATTAAGATTCTGTCCATTCAGATAAGTCTAGTTTGGGTGTCGGTTGACATAAGACTAGCCAGCATAATAGGTGATAGTGTATCCCTAGTAAAAGCTCTAAACCTTTATTCCTCCGAGCACTGTAAGCGAGCATCTTACTTGATACATTTTAAAACAACAGAAAAGCAACGTAAATATACCCATTTAACAGATGAGGGAAGAAAAATCCCAATCACGATGGCTACTGTTGTAGTTTGCTGTCTGTTGCAGCTTACAGGTAAAACCCTCTGGCCAAAATCACCTTACAAACAGAAAGGATTTGTTTGGCTTATACTTCCAAATCACAATCAAACATTAAGGGAAGTCAGGGCAGCAACGCCATGTTGGAACCTGGAATCTGGAACCAAAGATGAAAGCTGCTTGGTGATCTACTCTCTCCATCACTCCCTGGCTCATGCTCAATTAGCTTTCTCATGCAGTCCAGGCCCACCTGCCTAGGGATGGTACCATCCACTGTGGCTTAGATGCTCCTACACTCATCAGCAACCAGGACAATCCCTTACAAACATGGCCTTAGGCCTATCAGATTCCGAAATAGTGACTGCCTGTGATGTCTTGAAGCTTTATCAAATTCACAGCCGACGCTGTATTTATTAAGGGCTATTCTACACAGGAATCCCACTTAGGCTCCTCCCTATATGCAGATAGCCTGTCTGCCCAACAATCTCCAAAGTAAGTTCTAGGGCTGATGTCAAGATGACTCAGTGGCTAAAAGTGCTCACTGCTGAGCCTGGCAACCAGAGTTTAATTCCCAAACCCACATGGTGGAAGGAAATAACAGACTCCCACAGTTGTCCTCTTGACATTTATGCATGTGCCACTGCATACGAAACCTCTTTCCCCAACACAATAAATGTAATAAAAAAATGAAAACAAATTCTAGCAGCCTACTTACTGATAAGGACTCCACGATGCAGTCTGGTAGCCACAAGCTGAGGACATACACACCCATGACATTTGAAGTACCAGACCTAGATAGCTGGTTCTTCTGACAAGTTCTGCTGTTTCTACTCATTTCACTCTGCCAGATCCTGAAAGAATTCAGAATCTCTCCTTCATCCGCTTACACTGCAATTAGTCCATAAGCAATCACACCTACCAAATTTAGCCCTGGATCACTTTCTAAAGGGCTGAGGGAGTCTATATATAGATGATTTTCACATGGCTGCTCAAAGCACTGACAAGGGTCTCTGCACACTGTTTTCCATGTGAATAGGGACCCCCAAAATTATACCACATGACAGGCCTGGTCTTTTATAAGAATAACAAGTTAAGATAATAGAGACAAGGCGTTCTTTAAAAGGTTGATTTTACACATGGGTAGGTAGGTTGAGAGTTCAAGGCCAACACAGACTGCAAAGCAAGACCCTGACTCCAAAACAGCAACAATAACAATAATACAGTTCATTCTGTATAGCAGTCAGGAGGTAAAAAAACATCAACTATGGCAAAATAAAGAATCAGCAGTCCAGTTTTGCCATCAGGAAATAGTCACTGTTACCAAGTTTCACAAATATTTTAAAAGCTATTTCTACCTCTAATTGTAAAAATAACCAAAAACTTAGTCTTTTAGATTTAGAAAAATTAGATAACACTTTTAAGACATGGAGTTAGATCATCAAAGGTACCAGTCCTTTGGTAAAATCTGGTTATTTCTCACGCATGATATCATATAGACATCCACTATTTTACTTAGCATAGCAGCGACAGGAAAAGAAATAACATAATATGAGACCACGATTTGAATGAGAGATTTAGGACAAAGCCTAAGACGGGGTTAATAGAAAGTCCACATGCCCCAGGCCAGTGACAGCTGGAGCAAGAGCGCACCTGTTCCATACTTGGCGAGCCAGGTATCCGACCAGCACTGCCCAGATTTCTTCTGGGGTGAGGAAGCTGACTGCAAAAGGTGTTTGAAGTAAGGAGAGAAAAGGAGTTGTTCTTGGAAAATGGAAAGGCACTCCCTTCTTATCCCATGTCTAATCCAGTCACAGCAGCTAAACAGAAGGGAGGAGACGACTCCATTCTCAGTCTGACACTGAGTTTCCTATAACCAATGCCACCCCTCCCCGCAGCCCAAGCCTGACCAAGCCTAAAAGAATCAGAGTGGGCGCCTGAACAAAGGCAGTCAGGCTGTATAAAGGCTACGAGATGACTTGGTAACTTGAAAGAGAATTAAGAGTGACCAACTCAATGCCAGAAAATTCCTTTCTGGGGGAAGGCTGAATAAGAGACAGGAAGAGAGAGTGAGGCAGCAGTTAGGAGCAAGACCAAAGGCCAAAGGTCAAACATAGACAGCAATACGAGCAGCCATGAGAAAGCCGAGGATAGATGAGGTATTAAAAGTGGAATGAAGATGGGGTCAGCCAAGATCTGTAGTAGCAGGAACAGATTGTTGTGACAATGACATTGACAGATATTTGGTAGATGAAAAGCATCTGCATGGCCATGATAGCCAGGCTAAATATCCTGGTATCCCAAGCAATATTCTAGGTCTCTGTGGGGTTGGGCAGAAACTGACTGTGGTTAAGATGTCTTCTCCTCTTTCTTCCATCCCTGTATTTTACAACAAACATGAAAAGTAGATAGAAGGTTGTATTGATGGCCCCCAGGAAGTACGCCTCTCAACCATCCCTACTCTTATGTAGTTCCCTCTTGCAGTGATTCTGGGTTTGGCCATATGATATGCTTTGCCACTAAAATTCTGCCAAGCATCCTACAAGCAGGAGTGTGATGATCTGCTCCCTCTGGGAAGTATGAACTAGACTAAGGATGATTGATAGCCCACAGAAAGGGATCTTGGGAGGAGAAAAGAATGACTTGAGGCTTTCTGGCCTCAGATAAAAGCAGATCTATTAAACCACAACCCCTGCCAACCCTTCCAAACACAGGAAGTGGTAAACTGTTGTGTTAAGTCTAGGATCGTGAAGTGGTCTGTTATAGAACCACAGCTACCTTCAGCAATGGAAAAAGACAAGCTGAGGTTTCTTGCAACCAGAAAGGTACATTAGGAGGACCAACAAGCCCCATGCACTGGTGTCTTTCCAAGCCCATAGCTTGGAAATTCAAAAATATACAAATTGTCTTGTGACAGATTTCCCCATTGAATGTGACCTAACAGTTTGGATTTTTAGAAGTTATTGTTCTATATACATGAATTAGTACATCCAAAAGGTACATAGTAGGGTTGTGTTTCTCATACACATCTAAATTCCCCCAATAAGCAAAAGCACAGTTCACAGTGACAGTTTACTCTAAGTTTCTTTACACTGAAGTGCCTGTAGATTATGCCTAATTGGTTGTCTTAGTGATTACATCAATGAATTTCTAATGCAGAAATTTGAAAGCAAAACTAGAAAACAGGATGCAGGCTTAGGTGCTGTTGACCTCTCTTCTACTTTCCTGCCTCCAGCAAACACAGCAGCATCCTGATGGCCTGACCCTAGCCCTCTCACTCTCTCGCCAATGGTAACCAGAAGAAGGGGGTATGAAGGAAAAAAATGGCCAAGCCATAGAGACAGGCCCATTCCTTTATCTCAGGGCTCATTTGCCAACTGACTTCCTTTATATAACACAAAAGAGGCAAAGCTCCATTTTTAAATGGAAATTAGGAACCTGCTCTAATAGAGAAGTCTAAAAAAGTAGCAATTTACTTCTGAATACCAGAGCTGAGAGTGAGATATTTAGAAACATTTGTAGTGACTGAGCTGTGGCCCTGATTACCTTCCTGTCAACTGCAATTTCTATGGCCACCACTGAAAAGGTGTAAGTGTCAGATGTAGATTATTAAAACTTAGCAAAAATTTTGACATTATTATTACTGAATGATATCTTATCCTTTAGTCAAGCAAATAACATGTGGCAAAATGACAGCTGTTTAGCAAGACAAAAAAGCATTTTGGAGTGCTTGCCAGGTGGGTCTCTTAGAAAAACACACACACACACACAACTATGTCACATTTCTAAGACAAGCTTCATGACTCTTGTTGGAATAAAATGAACCATTTAAGATGAGGATATGGCACCCAGTTCAGCATCTCTAAATGTGGATCCTTCTGAACTGTGCAGAGTCGGGAGAAGAATGGGCAGAGTATGAAGTAACCTACACTGGCATGAGAAATTAACATAGTATTTGGTTCTTAACACAATATACACAATATAATTTATGTCTACCTTGTACTAATGTCCAGTGGATGTGTGGGGTCCTTTTCTCCAGCTTGAGGGAGGCTCCCTCTTTGTGATGCTATCATCCCATGAGTGCCCATGTCTTACTTTACTCTACCCAGAAGCAATACCTGTGTATGTGTGCGTGCATGTACTCATGTTGTTTTGGTTGCCTTTGATTAACCAAATATAGTCAGAGACTTCAATCATAGAGACTCAAGAAAACATCAGGGTACACAAGGAGTATTTAGTAGACACTAATGTTCCTGTCACAGAGAGCAGACTCTATTTCCCGTCAGCCAGAATTGCTTTAAGAAGGAATCTTGGAAGTAATGTTCTGCAGGACTGTCATCTTGTTGCTCTGTCTCAGTGATGAGTCAGGGAGCAGAAAGCTTGGGTGAGCTAGGCTGACTGATGATGTGCGTGCTGGTGGGCTCAACACCTGCTCTGCCTCCTTCCAAGCTGCAATTCTGAATTCTTCTCCCCTATAATTTGTCCTTTCCTTAAACATAGAGCTGGACATGGAAGCAAAGTCCCCGATTTACCAAAATCCAACAGACATCATTCTGACCACGCCGCAGGCCTTTGTAATTCTCTCAGCAATATTTCAAAATAAATCTTACTGAGAGATCGAAGCCATGCATAATCACAACAAAACCATGAAAGTGAGGAATGGAGACTGACAAGACATGAAGAATTGCATTTTCCACTTGTTATCAGTGTCTGGAAGTGTGTATTAACATAAACCCCAGAGCTGGGAGCTGCTTATTGCAGCCAGAGGTTATTCCACATAAAGAACCAATCCCAGTTTCTAGCTGATGTGCATTGAGTACTACAAAGAATTTATCAGTAGGACAGGGAAGCAATACGTGAAATATTTAACTCCTCAATTAGTTCAGGAAATTTATCAAATTTATCCCCAAAGATAATCTGTAATCTTCACACTTAGGTACAATTCAGTTTCCAGAAGTTCAATATTAGGAGGCCATGCTCTCTAACATAAGCACATAAAAGCATTCATGTTGGCAACTACATTTTCTGTAATATGAAAGCTAATCAATTGGACATTTGACTCAACTTTGGAATATTCAGAGACTCCTGACACAATCTACACAGAGTCCGTAGAAAGTGTATTCCACTGGTGTGAAACAATGTTCAGAAGGCAGTGTAGGATCAGCACCCTGAAGAAATGTTCCTTGTCTCACTCTCTAGTGGAACACTCAGGACAGAAGAGCATTGCAGTTGTATCCACGTTGGTGGACAACATTAAGTCTACTGTCTCCTGGAGCGTTTCCAGTATGAACTTCTGTATAATGATTTTTGTGAGTAAAATGAGCACTAGAATCTCCTAAAATTAAATATATTTATCCTTCTAGAGGGGAGAGGGGTGGAGGGAGAATGAGAAAAGAGAAGATAGGAAAATAAAGACAAAGCTAACATTTTAGATACAATACATTTCAAGTTATGATGTTTACTCTTTTCACTTAGAAATTGTGGCAATACACAACAAAAAACTGAACTGAAATTCAAAATTACAAAAATATTTTCTTTAAGCATACTCAAGGTGGTATCACAAAGGTTTCAATGGAAACATTTGCTTAGAAGACATTTCTGGAAGGGCTTCAGGATGGGGTAGCAGTGCTAAGGTCTCCCCTTGTTCTCAAGTTCCTAACAACAGAAGTCTAAGCTCTACAGTTAAGCACAGTCAAAGAAACCAGCTATCAGAGTGAGAGCTATTGAGATGCCATCAAAGATGGGGAAAACAAATACAACACCAAAACCAAAGCCAAAACAAAACAAAAGAAAGCAAACAAACAAAAACCCCACAAGATCAGAAACTGAGAAAGGGGAGTAGAGTATCCTATTC